AATCAGACCCGTGCAGGACTCTGCTACAGCACAGGTTCCATTGGCTCCTTAAATCTAGTAATTTTAGTCTTGTATTTCAAACTGGTTTACCACAGATATTATCTAGAAATGAGTTATTAGCGTGTTTTAAGATTAAATGAAAATGTACATCAAAAGGTCTTGCGTGACCTGGTGCTGTTAAATTGTATTTGACATATTGGTAGAGTCAGCTGTCTAATCCTTTTTTGGCCTCCTCACCTGTTCTGTCCTCAGGGAACCGCCCGCAGGAAGAAGAAGGTCGTTCACAAAACAGCAACAGCTGATGACAAAAAACTCCAGGGATCCCTGAAGAAACTGGCAGTAAACAACATTGCTGGGATAGAAGAGGTGAGCCATCAAAGGAAGCCAACAGACGATTGCTCCGTTTGAACTTTTTACATTTTTTTTTTGGTCAGAGTCCCGATAAGGAAAGATAAAAGAAAGAGAGAGCCCTCTCCGATCTTGTCATCTAGTTTATTTTTAGAGAGCTTTAATCCAACTCGCTCCCGCAAAGTCTCTCGGATAAATCAATGCATAAAGAAACGATACAACTACCCTGATGCTCACAAGTCTCCTTCATTTATCTTGTGGCTCAGTTTGCCTTTCGTATATTACTGTGAATTATTAAACCAGTTAAAGGTTAATTTAGGGAAGTTTTGTTCAAATCTGAAGCAACGGTCTATTGCTTGGGGTTGTTGTATGCTGTAAATAGTTTGACTATTCCAAATGTTAGTCCAGTTGGATGCTCTTAGAAAGTCCTGATGAATTCTCCTTCACATCTTTCCTTAACCCCATGATGTTTTTCCCTAAGGTTAAGGAATACTGGTTAGAAACAGACGTAGGACTATATTTTTGGACAATTTGACCACAACCTAAGAATATACACAAAGTACTGCTTATATCTTGATGCTGCAGAATCCTGTGTTATGCCCTATTTGCTCTAAATCTGTTTTCTGTTTCCTCAGGTGAATATGATTAAAGACGATGGGACGGTGATCCACTTCAACAACCCCAAAGTGCAGGCGTCTCTGTCCGCCAACACCTTCGCCATCACGGGCCACGCTGAAACCAAGCAGCTCACGGAGATGCTGCCGGGCATCCTGAGCCAGCTGGGCGCCGACAGCCTGAGCAGCCTGCGCAAACTGGCCGAGCAGTTCCCACGGCAATGTGAGTGTACACACACACACACACACACACACACACTTGCACAGGTACAATGTCAGGGGTCACTGGGACTGTAATATTAGTGATTTGTTGTCAGCCAAGTCATCAGATTTTGTGAATACTTGGATTAAAACGAAGGTATGTTGTAGTGAGAATAGTTACCACCTTTTAAACCCGACGACCGTACACAGTAAAAAAATGCAGTATGAATGTGCTGCCTTCAACACATCAGTGTATTCATGCAGATTTGTTAAACAGCTTTGTTTGTTTAGAATCACTAGAGAACAAGACATTATTTAATATGACTGTGAGGAACTGGTTATAGAAGTGACGATAACAAAAGAGCACTACAACGATTGAGAGGAAAGGGCCAACACTTCAATATACTAAACATATTAGCATTTAAACACTGATAATTGATAAAAGACAAAATAACCATCCCCCTAGGATACATGATTGAGTGTAGGTGATTCAGTTTCAAGACTTTGCATGTAATTGAAATAAAAACCAGTGAAGCAAACAGGAAATAGGAGCGGCTTTTCCACATAGCAACACAACTAATTATGTGATGTGTGTTTTCTCCAGTTGTCATGGAATTGTAGATGTCGTCATTCATCTGTCCGGGCATTTCCATCCATGTTAAGCACCACTTCAACATGGAGCTCAACTTTGGATTAACTGTTGGTTTTCTTTTCATGTATTTGGCAGCAATGGACATGAAAGCAGTTAAGGAGGTGATTGCAGAAGAAGAGGACGACGATGTACCAGGTAAACGCTTAGAACCGCTGTTCCCCATGCTTAAGATTATGTTAAAGATCATTCCTTTTTAACTTAATCTTTGTGGATTTATAAAAGTTGTTTCCAAACGGATGCACTATGTATTTAGGGCTGTTACCATTTTATCAGCCAATCAAATAAGAACTTTAGTTGTGTTTGCATTCTCATTTTCAAATAGTTTTTTTTATCAATGCTTCAGTTGCAAGCCCTTAATAATAAAGGCTTGAATCACCTGCTATGCTTTCACAAATTGTTGGACTAACAATATCTTGATGTTCTTTCTTGTTTCCCATCTTCCAGATCTCGTGGAGAACTTTGATGAAGCCTCAAAGAACGAAGCAAACTGAAGAACCCTTTTTTTCCTCCGTCAACCGTTTTATGTTTTACCTCGTTCGGACTCACAAAGGGCATTTCCTCTTGTGCTGGAAACGGTTGTTAAAAGTGCGATGCTTCAGCACCTCCGGAGACGTGAAGCACTGCGGTTTAGCCTGCCACAGCAACAACATGCGGATACAGTAGGTTTTCATTTCAGTAGGCTGTTACGTTGTGGACACGGCGAGAAACGAGGATCGGCACGACTCTCGGCACCAAAAGGACTCCAACTTCTTTAGAAATAAGCTTTCTACATGGTTAAACATGGCTAGTATTTAAGAGATTGTTTATGAAATTGCAATCAAAGTGAACTCTTCATTCACTTTACATTATAGCGTTGATTATGAATTTAATAAAACATTTTTGGGCTATTGACGCATGTCGTTATTACTTGACTTGTCCGATTGGTTTTTAGCCATTAGAAGAATCCTATTCACCTCATGGGGAAACAGTCTGTAGTATTAACCCCCTACATATTAGCTCTGATGAATACTTGAGAAGTAGAAGAGTCCTATATATGTTAAGAGTGTAACTGATGCTAGTTTTATAAATAGAATACACGGTTATTATAAGCCCCACAGTGGGCCACTTCCTTGAATTCATCTGAGCCGTTACGTAACACAATATTCTGGAAGTTGAAATAAAATACTTTGAAACTAAACTTTGAGTTAAAAAAAAAAAAAAACTTTAAATTGCATCAATTTGCTCTTTGGCTGTGTTGCTACTGTATAGCCTGCTATGATATAATAAACTGGTGGGAAAAGGATCACTATTAAAAAGTAGCATTACAAATGCATAATTCTCAATGACTAGTAAACGCGATGCAGTCACAAAGTCGTCTTAAGCAAAAGATTTAAAAAGTATTACAATCGTGAAATACTTAAAAGCACTCATTCAGCAGTGTCCCATTTCAGAATATTAATGTATAGGTGTATTACATTAGGATTATTATTGTTGATGCATTCAAGGGTTCATCACTTTATTGTTACAGCAAGGGATAAATAAGCTTTATCATAACCTATAATATAAATAATAATTTATTTTATTATATTTTGTATTATGAAACTGAAATGAAGTAGTTAAATGTTGGATCGTTTCCTCTTATATGTAATGTAAGTAGCAGAAATCGAAATGAGTTTAGTAAAGGTACCTCAAAATGTACTTAACTACAGTACTGGAGTAAATGCACTTGTCACATCGCATTACTGATCACAAGTTATTTCCTTGTGTTTATTCAGGTAAAGTAAAAGGGTTTTGCACTTTTTTGTAAAGTAGTTATGAATCAAATATGAAGAACTATTGGCTTTAATTTCCCCCACTATAATCATTTGTTGGGTGTGCAGTGTGCACATAAGGAGACTGTAGCATCCCGTTTCATTGATCCTGTGACGCTGCTCTGCTGCATCGGGCAGATCAATGACGCTCTGCTGTCAGTCTCTGCACAGCTGGAGAGCCTCACAAGGTTACCGGGGAGGAACGGGACATTTTGGCTCCTGTGTGTCCTGCACGGTCCTGTCCGTGAGGCGGGGCCGGGCTGCGGAACACCGGACCCGCCCCGGGGCTCACCTTCAGCCCCGGGGCTCACCGGGCTCACCACCCCACCTTCAGCCCGGGCTGAGCCAAAATGTCCTGCTGCTGCTGCGGCTGGACCTCAGAGCAGGAGCTGGATGGAGCTGAACAGCTTTACAGAAGCGTCAAGATACACAGATAACTGAGTCAGAACCGGAAACTGTGTGTTGTAGCCTTTCAAATTAAAAGCTTTAGTTGACTCGTTATCTGCATTTTACTTGCACAATTGAGTCACTTGCACTATTTATGTCTATTCTTGTTATGTTTTAAGTATCTAGTCTACTGTATGTTGCACTATTGGAGGAGCCTGCAACTACGCTGTAGCTATCATGAATATGACAATAAAAACCTTGAATCTTAAACTTAAAAAAAAGAAACTTATGTGTACATACATGGGAGAAATTAAATTAACTCGGCCGGTTCTACCACAATATTTGACTGATGTTGGCCCCCAAGGTAATAACAGAACTAGGCAAAAAGCATAACATATTTTTACACTGTTGTATTAGTACTTTTATTTTATTATAGGATCTGAACACTTACACCACTGGTTAATGCAAAGTGTAAGTGTGTATTGATTAATTATAACATAAATCTTGTATTTCAATAAAGACTAAGAAGAAGAAAAATACAGGTTATTTCGGTAAGAGAAAAGGTAAATAACAAAGTTAACCTACAAATGAAAAACATACACAAGAGGATCAAATTAATACTATAAAATAGTTTGCATAAATTAGTAGTTTAGTTCAATATTTTATAACAGGTTTTCAAATGTAATAGTGCTTGAAGATTTACATTTAAATATGTGTGTTTAAATGTAATTTAAAATGACACTTTCTTTAAGAATTGTATTTTATGAATGAACACATTTATGACATATTGTTTTATTCTGGATAAATTAAGTAATTAACTGTTGGATATTTTAAACAAATCGTGTTCTTCGTGTAAAATATGTATTAAGATAAAACTGAGGTGTAGCAGGTGGTATTTAATTTTGAAATACACAACCGGAAGTGGTGGGTGTCCATTCTGGCTGTCTTGATGGTGCTTCTTATTTTCCCCAATATTAACCCTTGGGGGAGGGATCTTTGAGTGCTGTCGCACAACTACGGCAGACTACAAGCTGTACTTTCCGACTTGCGCTGTGTGAGTTAGGCAGCAGTGGAGGGTCTACCTGAGGAGACTCAAAAATAGCCCTCAAAGGCGATTAGGTATGACGGATACTGACGGAGGGGCTCCGCGGGAGGACTGTACGTAGAGATGAGGATTCCTCCGGTGAGTAAATGTTTTCATGACATTTCTTACACTGTCTGTTGTTGCTCTGACGTTACAACCCGCCATTGCAACGGCAAGTGTTATATTAACTAAGCCGAATAAGTCAGTGTGGATGTGGGGTTGCATGGTCTGTTTGGCTAGCTAAACGGTGAGTGACACCGAGAGAGGTGATGCACTATTTTACGTTCAATTACACAACACGCTGCTTTACGAGCTGTGGCTAAACATTCACTAATAAAAACACTAGCAATGCAGCAAAAACCAAAATGTACTTTTTATGACTGTGAGAAATGGGCTGAGTTAACATGAGGAGGAATGCTTTTTAAAATAACCGTTAAAACCGTTAGCCACAAAATAGCCACAAAATAGCCGTTAAACCGTTAGCACCAAGCCCACCGAGCAGCAGACGGTTGAGTGTCCGTCCGAGGAGCACGTCTCTGCCGTCACTCGGAGCACGACTACCCGCTAAACCCTTGGAGCTAACACTAGCCACCTTTTCCTCCTGATACACCCTGCTGCTGTACAGTGGGGTTATTTATCCTCTAAATATTTCATCATATTGTTATACCCGGCTTTGTTATAACTGTTTTGTAAACTTAACTCGTGGCCTTTTGAGGTGTGGACGTTACATTCAGCTAGCAGCTAATACAACTAATAACCTAAGTTCTGGTGCAAATAAAAACACCTCAAATGTCGTGTTTGTAACTGTTTTTTCTTGATATACCACCTTTAATAACAAAGAGAAGCTTCCCATGGCTTAACCCAGTGTACCTGTGAATAATATTTACTATCTGAGGCTGTGTTTGGCCTGTAGGCAGCAGGCACACAGTGCTACTTTATGATTGCATAATCCAAGCTAATGGTCATTTGTGTTGCTCTGGAGAGTTTGTTAGTGCCATGTCTTTTACATTTACCTCATCATGTCATCTCAGGGCCTTTTATTTAAGAACTGGAGGTGGATTCATAAAAAAAGCAGTGGGCCCATCCCAGTGCCAGCTTGAATAGTCATCACCAGTGAGTGTAAAACGAATTTGTTACTGAAGAGAAATCCAGAACAGATAATATCAAAGCATCTGGAAAGGCTTGACTACATAACACTCATAATTGTTCTTGGTATCTCTCCAGCTTGACTGAGTGACTGTTCAGGGCATTTGATTTTTTACCTCACTACATCCTCAAGCAGTATTAAACCCTGGGGGGTTGATTGAGTAGACTGATCCAACAGGCTCCCCATGCAAGGACCAGCTCTCTTGTGTGCAGAGACTTCCCAGATGTAGGTTACTGTACGCTTTCAGAAGCTATTACAAGTCTCTCCCTGATGGCAGCCCGGCACAGCAGCCTGTCTCCTCTTGCCTTTTCTTCTGTCGTGTGGCGGTTAAATGTAGATCAAAACATAAGGGAGAAAAGAAGATTATAATAGCTTTTGACACTTTATGTGAAGCAGAGTAGCTCTTTGTAACAGGAGGACAAGCTACTCTCTTTACTTTTCCCATCTTCAGATCTCAAAGGATTTGCCATTATTAACCTCTCTTTTCAGATATTTTTTTTCAAATTATTGAGAAGACTCTCATCTTTTAAGGATACAAACCTGTGGCTTGTTTTTCTTTTATGTTTATTTCTGAAATATCTAGCAGTACTTGGGAATTGCAACTTTAAGTACTTACAGGAGGAGGTAGACAACTCCCAGTCAGGGCGTTAATCATTACATAATAATGTGTCAGTCAGGTCATGCGATCATGCTTTTAGAAAGTTATGTCAGTCCATTCTTAAAGAGAGGAAGTGATCATTGGAGGTTTCCTGTGTCTACTCGGAGGCGACGGCGTCTGGAGCTCGTCTGTGCCGTGTATGGATCTATAAATGCTCTTATCAGGATGTGAGCCTGCAAACCTGGGACGTTTGTAGCACCAGGAACAGTAGAAGAAGAAACTTTGTTCACAGGTCTGTTTTCCTGTAGAACTATTTACAACCACTATCACATTCTCAAGGACAGCTTAAACATGTAGAGTTTTGTTTCACTTAATCCAACACATCCAGTAAGTCATCAGTTTCAAATGTGTTACTGAAACTAATAATCTCTCAATTCTTTTTTTTGCATTTAATCATTTTGTCTATAAAATGGCTGAAAGTTTTGCTTGTTTTATTTGATCAAAAGTCTAAAATAGGGTAAACATTTTTTTATTTTCAATATTGATTGCTTTCTTTATCTTTCGGTGTAAAATAAACATTTCTCAGCGCCTTCAGTGATGTCTTTAATCATCCAACCAATATTACAAAGTCTTAGGACTTTTTGTTGTCACATGGTTTTTTTTCAAGCAAAAAGCCCAAATGTTTCAGTTTCACAGACATAAGGATTTGTCCTTATGTCTGTCAGCAAAAAGCCCAAATGTTTAAGTTTCACAGACATACGGATTTGTCCTTATGTCTGTGAAACTGAAACATTTGGGCTTTTTGCTTGAAAAAACCCCAGACATAATTAGACAGTTATAACATATATTATATTTCATAACCGATACAATGATTGTAAGGGAATTCCACATCATGTGTGAGGAAGTGATGCGGCTCCCTCACAGGAAACAACAGCAGGAAACCGAGTGTTGTTCTGACAGCGAGGACCTAATGAACTGTGGTAGCATTCTTGTAATGTGTCCAAGCCTCCTCGCTGTTTAAGCCCTTGTCTTATTTAATTTAGCTGCCATGCCTGGATGTCCAGTCAGGCATGCTTTATCGTGTTAGTAGTCCGTTAGGCCATTTCATTATTAGCATGTCTGGCTTACACTGGAGGCTGCAGCGTGGCTGTGGAGGGGATCCTCTGCAGTTCGCTTAGTTTAAAATAGAATAAGGTTCCTTGTCTGGTTCTGTCATTACAATGTTAAGTGTCATATTTGTATAACAATCTTCAAAATATCCAGCTGTTCTAGTTTGAAGATTTGCAACATTACCATATGTGTATGCAATTTTAGATTGAATATCTCTTAGTCTTGTTAGCCTGACAAATGTCCCCTAATTTTGTGAAGCAATTGGTTGTGGCTCAAACAATCACTTGATTGATGCTGAAATAGTGAAGCCTATAGGAGTCAGTTAATCAACATAAATCTGATTCCAAATCTGATAAGCTTTGGTTATTTTCTACAGTCTATGGGTTGAGTTATACATCAAAAGTCTATGCTTTGAGCTAAATTCTAACACAGGTGGTGTTTGGTAAATGCTTAAAGTGGCAATGCTAACATGCAGATGGTATAAAGGTATATTGTGTTAGTTTAGTGTGTTAGCATGCTAATATTGAATAAGTTCCCCTTAATGCAAAGTAGAGGTGAGGCTGGTGAGTGGAGTTAGCTACGCAGGTATTTCTTCACAAACTATTGGACACAATTTTGATCTGATGATGGTGCAAAATGTCAAGTTAGCTGATCACCAAAGTAGTTACAGAATATTACTTGGGAGGATATTAATGTCTGTACCAAATTACATGGCAATCCATTTGATAAATATTAAAATATTACACCCTGAAACACCTCTTCAAAGTCAGAAGGGTTTTCCTCCCCTTGAGCTTTGCCACTATAATGGCCGCTAAAATAATACACTTTTACTGATAACAGCTTCACAAACATGAAGAACTGCTTGATTTTCACAATGTTGTAAGAAATGTGAACAATTTAGCTATTTGTCATGTTTATAAGCATTTCCAAGACAATATTAGCGGCTCTATTTAACAAAAGTTCAGTCTGTAAAATACATTTGAGGTCAATTAGAATAACTGTCAGGTGTGGTCGACTGTCATGCACATCTTGATTTTCTTGTTTGACTCCATGCCACACCACCACATGTAGCTGCTTGCATTTGATAGTTTTTCAGTAGTCTAGCTGAGGAGTTGGAGCATGTTTTAACAAAAGATTTTAAAATGAGATCGTGTAACTGCAGGCTCTCCGACTGACACGCTCTCTCATGCACATATGTCTGCTTGAAAGCATCTCCCCAAGTTTACATGTCTAAAAATACAACTCCTTCACGCACTTTGACTAAAGATGCATTATTTAACGCCTCTGCTGAGTAATTAAATCTTAATCAGGGACGGGCTCCTGTCCTCATGGAGGTGTATCGTGGTTGTGTGTACGTGTGTGTTTGTTCACATGTGTTTATGTGTGCGCTGTCCCCCAGTCCTCTGGAGCTTTTCAGGCTCTTACGGTGCGAGACGGTTGCAGAAATGTTTAGAAGCAAAGCTCTCTGCTGAAGTAAAAGGTGGAGAGGTTTGAAAAAGTTCAACTTTTCTTCTTGTATTGTTATGAATTTTAATTTGACCTGCTTTCATCTGTTGATTTGATAAGAAAATCTAAGGTTTAGGACTCTGATGTTTTGAAATTGTATTTCAATGCTAAGGTTACAGTTTGTGAAATTAAACTCTATACAGTTAAACTATTGTTAAAATAAAATGAATAGCAATTATGAGTAGATTAGGGTATATCATTTGCATTTATTAAAATATTAATTTTAAACAAATTGCAAATAAAACTGACTGACTGAAGCTGTACAGACTGGGATGTGTTGAATTGTAAAACATAGACAAATGTTTTTCCTTAATCTTAAAGAAAATTGCAGTTTTGTGGAATATCACCACATTATTATAATTACATTTATGATTATTATTCACTGTCAATGTTTTTTTAAATGTCAGTGTATATTTATTTGAGCAGTAGTAGAGTTTCTCGTATTGATTTTGTGGTGACGTCACTGTGTGTGTTTTGCCCAATCTGAGTCATCATACTCCATCTGGACTGTGCTTGCCTAATGGTTCGTAAGATGCTCTAATTAAAGCGGTGTGTCTTTGTTTCATTCACTGATGGATTATTTCTTTTGTCGATATTCTTAATTCAAACGGGGCCTTTTTGTAGTCAAAGCTATTTAGTTTTCTATTCTTGGCTCTGACAGCAGTGTTTCCTTCAGCCTCGTTCCTGGTGCTGCAGAAATGGTTTGACCCACCGTACACACTACATGTGTATCCTCCTGTCCTGTGCTCTCACCGTTTTGCTGACGTCGTGCACATGCTTGCACCTTAAACTAAGCGGAAAATGTGTTGACTCGGCTCCTTTCTCCGAAGCCTTCGCGCTGCGGAATATCTAGTCTGGTGTAATCCCTGGACGCTCTTGTCCTTATGAGAATGACCCTGAGGTTCAGCATGGCTGTTACTCATTTGCTGCCCCACACACACATACACACATACACACGGCATACACACACACCATCGCATCCTCACTCCAAGGTCTTCTCATCAGCAAGGACAGACTGGGCAGGTTTACTGTGCAGTGACTCGGGCTTCATCTGATTTCCATTCAGGCCTCTGATTGCCTTGTCGAGCGTGAATGAGTATTTGCTCACGATGTATGATTATGTGCAATACACATGATAAGCTAGATGTACTGTTTTATCATTTAAAACATGGTGTTCATGGACTAAACTGTCTCCCCCTTAATGAGGTGTTTTTCTGATTCATCATCAAAACATTTTTATTTCAATCCTTTATAAAATGTTATAATGGTGAAATGGCCCAGTATAATTCCACAGAGCTCAAGGTGAACTCTTTTATCGTTTTTATCCAACTGTCAGTTCAAAACTCAAAAGATGTCATGTTATTGTTTGTGACTAAAAAAAAATGGTTAAATCTTTACATTTGAAAACCTGAAAATCGGTACATTTTTGGCACTTTTGCTTGAAAAAAAGTCTGATACAATTTATATGTTTTTAAATGCATTTTTTTGTTTTGTTTTTTACTTTTAAAACAGCCAGCCTTAGCCTGAACCGTAGCTGGATGTATTGACCAGTACAATTCAGATGTTTCATTTGTACTCTTCAATCGCAAACTAAATATTAAGCCCAGATCAAGGACTTTGCTGGCTTTACTTACTTCACTATGATTTGTTGTCGTTCATATACTGTAAACATCTAGGAAATGCTGTAATCTCACTTGTTGTATTGCCTTGTAATGAGACAAGCAGCGTGCTTTTCCACGCAGGATGAGAAGCAGTTGTTTGACTCAAAGGTGTTTCCCTCCCTCTCTAAGGTGTGGGCGCTGGGCGCTTGCCAGACTGGGTGAAGTGAGAAGTGAGAGGGAAACCTGCTGCGAACAAACCACCGCCTGGGACTGCTGAGGAGGACCTCTGTGCAGGTGAGGAGGGACGAAGAAGCCAGATATAATACATGTGTATACATAGGAGTCAGAAATGTATTTAAATGAAGACTATGTCCAAGTTACAAAACAAACAATTGATCATGTCATACAGAACACGAGGCAATTCGCTGATGAGAACGTTTATGTTCAACTGTTTTGATAATACATTTATGGTTTAAGTCGTATTTTTAAAACGGATACAAATTATCTGTTTCCAGTTTGAATCAAAATGTTTTGTTAATATGATATAAATGTAATATTTTGAGGTTAGATGATGGAAGTCAGTTAGAGATGTCACCTTGGATTTACGGGGAACATAATTTAGTACATAATCTTATCATTTAATCGACCATGCAATAAATGAAGAAAATAATAAGCGGATGAAATGATGCTGCAACACATTTAATGATGGCAAAACTTCAAAGAGGAAGAGCATTTAATACTTGAGTATCCTGAATGCCTCCTTGTTACTATATTCAAGGCTTATAACTCACTCCATAACCTTCGCAATCATAAAGCACTTTTTGACCTTACCTATACTTGCCTTTTATTATCTTTGTGGCCCCAGAGCAATCGCAAACACACGACTGGTAGGGAAGGAAAATGAGAAGTAAGAGCCAAAGGGGGTTGGGGGGGGGGGGATGTTTCTACTTAAACAAAGCTTATTGAAGTGAGATATGAGAAAGGAGATATGAAACAGGCTATGGGGGACATTTGCATACTGCATGGAAATGAAAGGATTTGTTATTAAGGACACTCTTTGTGTTTCTAGGTTCACACGGCCGTCGGCAGCGTGGAGCTTCCTGACCCATGGAGAATTACTTCCAGGCCGAGGCCTTCAACCTGGACAAGGTGCTGGACGAGTTTGAGCAGAACGAAGGTGAGCTCCTCTGTTTAAAAGGATGTGGAAAGGACACGGGGCCAGACAGTGAGTCATTGTGTCTGAGAGATGGTGTAATTGTGGGATTGAAGTTTCAGAGGAGCTGTGGTCAGGATGCCCTTATGTAACCCGGAGTAAACCATCAGTGTGCCAGACTGAGCCAACACCCGACCAGTTCCTGCAACATTTACAGGTGTCGATTGAAAGTGTGCAGAGAGGAAATGGGGCTAATTGGATTATCAATTTCCCCCAGGCCTGTGTGAAACTGTGTAATTGGTGCAAGACAAGAGTCTTTGTTTCTTCTTCACACTTAATGCTGACAATTACTAAAGAAATGGTGTTACAGCCTTTTACAGACAGTGCTTCCACAGAGTTTATTTATGGTGATCGTAAAGTAAACACTGCATCGCTGTGCTGTGTATCGCTCCCAGCTCTCCAGAACAAACGCTCTGTTATTACAGAGGGAAGACTGCTCCTTCTCTGGATTTATGACTGAAGGTGACCCCAGAAATATGCCAGCCCTCCACACACGACATATTTTAATGGTTCTCTGAGCTCAGTGTGTATTTTGGCTGCGAGCGATTATCTGTGTGTACTTTGCCAGAGATCCAGCTTGGCAGATTAACTCTGTGTGAGTGAATGTGTGTGTGTGTGTGCTTGAACCTGGTACAGCGCATACCGAAACAGCTTAGCATGAGTTCCAGTGAATGAAGGAAAGCACTATACAGTAGCTGACTTGGCTGTAAAAGTCCTTTTTGAATACATTTTATAAGATTTTCCGCTCGTATTACCCAGCATTCATGTGTCAGCTAGCTTGACTGATGTCTCCTAGGGGTGACTGAGCCGTTTGGCCCACTTTCACTGAATTCCCACACTAATTTCTCACTCCCTGCCAACCTCATTTCTCAATTTGTCCCCTGGTTTGGCTCTCCCATTTTTAGCTCTCGATCACCTGGGAGTGTGTATATTTGCAATAGTTCTCCGTAGCAGTTCCTTTGAGGCTTCCTGTCTTGTGTTTAAGGTTCATGATCTTTTCTCCGGGTACAAATCTGGGCTGAACTGAATTGTATAAGGCTTTATTCATAATGTGAGAATTTGAATTTTTGTCATGTCTATTAATGAAAAAAGTGTTTTTACACATTGTATTTATTTATTTAAATGTGTCCGATAAAGATTAAGCTAATAGTATTATGCTATTTGGAGAATAAGATTTTAGGGGCGGCTGCATAAGATTCTCTCTCTCTCTCCTGTGATCCAAACATTTCCCATAACTTGTAAGTGGGAAATAAATAAATACTATGATTTTCAAAATTCACAGTGTGTTTTATCCGTCAGAATTTGTCTGGCTCGATCAGTTTTTGTTGTCGTTTATCGTTTCAAAAGTAACATTTTCACTGTAGCTGTATTAACCAGGCAGTCAAGCAGCAATCGTACAGCACCATACAAAAACATTTATATAACCACAATAACAAAGAAATGAATGTTTTGAATGCCTATGGCAGGATAGAATATAATGACAGACGTTCAACCTCTCATTTGAAACCTCAATAGAAGCTTTATATGTAAAAAAAAAAAATGACTTTTGCAATATCAAGATGAAATATTATGCAATGTGCAGCAAAGCCACGATTGGTTAAATGTAAACTCTTCTTGAAGCATTTTTACAAATAATGTATCATGAGATCCATGTACTGATCAGTTTTCCTCTCTTCTTTCTCCCTCCAGATGAGACCGACAATCCCATTCTCTCGGATGCCAAGTGGACCCAGATCCTGGCCCCGCCGGCCCACCTGCTCTCTCTGAACCCCGCCCTGGCCCACGCAGACCTCAGTCCCGGGGAGAGTCCGCTGCCCTTCAAAACCCTCCCCAACTCCTCCAGCACCTCCCCGGGGGGAGACTCAAAGAGACTTCCAGGTCTAGAACCTCCATCCTGGGTAGAGGAGAGGCCGGCAGACGTCCACAGCCCTCCCCTCCCCCAGCCCAACATCGGCAAGCTGGTGGGCACCGACGACCTCTCGCCGCCCCCTGTGACGGCCTGCCCTGCTGTGGAGAATGGCTGCCCTGCAAGCCCAACACTGGGGGGGCTCAGCAAGAAGATACATTCTCCTTCAGATAGACATCCTGGGGATTCTGATCAGGAATCGCATCAGGAGGAAAGAGCCGACTCAGCATCAGGAGGAGGCTCCACCGTCGGTCACACTCACTTCACCTTTGAGGTTGGATTAGAAAAAGAAACTCTGCCACTGAGAATAAATCCAAATGTGCAACCAACAACACACAATGGGGAAGATGTCAGACAGGAGGCTGGTACAGCTGTCTTACAAGACAATGGTCATGAAAAACAGACTGCACACTTTAAACAGCAGCATGTAGAGAGTCTCCTGCATAGGGAAAAAGACATTCGTAGTGATTGTAAGGTGGAGGAGAATGGTGTATCTCCTCCTGACAGGAACGGACTGGATATAAAGCAGAGGAGATGTGGTCCAAAGGGACAGATGGACCAACTCCTCAGAATACCAAGCCTTCCCAATGGTTTAGAGCAGGAGAGCAGTAACCATTCCAAAGCAGAGGAGATGGAGGAGGAGCAGGAGGAGGGTTTTTCTCCCTCTCCTGTCCCCTCCAAAGAGGACTCTGTCACTGAGGAGAAAGAAATGGAGGAAAGCAAGCAGGAGAGCAGTGAGGGAGTAGCAGTGGGGTCAGGTAGCATCCAACCAAAACTTAACAATCGCCTGCAGCCGGTCAGTGTTCCCTTCGGAGGAGCGCGACCGAAACAGCCGGTCAACCTCAAGCTCCAAATCCCACAGCCTCTGTCGGGCCAGGTCCAGAATCAGCTCGCCAACAGCAGGAACAAAAACCATGACAACCAGTGTCGGAGAGGCACGCCCTCTGAAACCACGCCCAGTGGGACTGAGCCCAGTTTAGTGGGGGTGAACGGAGAGGGTGTGGTCCACTCTCCTGCCTCGATGCCCTCGGAGAGCCCGGACAATGACCTCCAGGCCGGCCAGCAGGGCTCTCTGAGCAGGAAAGCCTCCAGCTCCCTGGGTGAGGTGGCCCCTGTGTGGGTCCCCGACTCCCAGGCTCCTGTCTGCATGAAATGTGATGTCAAGTTCACCTTCACCAAGAGGAGGCACCACTGCAGGGCCTGCGGCAAGGTCAGTGCTACAGCTGGGAGTCTTCACCGTAAAATCTAAAATATATATTTTTCCTCTTACCTCTAGTGCTATATATATAAATTACAAAGTGAACCCCTCCATGAATAGATGAACACTTTGTTGGGTGTAGTTTGGCAGAAGGTTAAAGGAGGGGTATGTAATTCACTTCAGAAATACTTTTTGTTATATTCCATGGAATGCTCTTAACATCCCGATAGCAATGAATACATTAAATGCTTTGACAATGAATACATACAAAAATGTCATCTGTGGAAGCCGTAGTACTGTAAAAAGCACGACCAATCATCTGAGCCGGCCCGGCTAAAATAACTGGATGGCCTACCTGCCTGTCAGCCTTCCATCTGTGCACAAACTTATCTCGTGCCCTCATTGGTTATGTGCGCGTTCATGTGTGTTGGAGGAGGGGCTCTGTAAGGAAGTCTGAAGGAAAGGGCAGATTTTTTTCGGTTGTGTACTTTCAAATTCTAGCACACTCGAGCTGGTTTCTCCATTCTTACCTACCCCACCTTTAAATGCTTAAAATAGTACATGTTTCGTGTCAGCCTATCATAAATAAGGAGACTCAATATTTATACACATTTTTTAAATGATCATGAAATCAATCGGATGAAGTTAGAAATAGCTTTCATAAGCCTTCTGTAGCCTGTATGAGCTACTAGAGTGCACCCATTAGAATACTGTATTGAGATTAAGGTCGGGTGCATGACTTTGAGAAGCCAAAAAGCTTACTGTTATCATGCTGCGTTTTATTATTGCTTACTCCACATGTTTGTTCTCTATAATGTTCACACCTCCCCTGGGGGTTTGTCAGAGGGATAAGCCAAATGATGTTGGCCTTTCTTCAAGCTAAACTTGCAAAACACTTTAGCATTTTCATGTAGATTGCACACAAGATAGAAAACTAACAATGCTTGAATTAGATAATGTATGGCATTTTGGCTTGAACAATTATTTTAGTGATAAATCAATTAGCAAAGGGGTTTCTTGCTCATTTTGATTACCTTCTTTTGTTAATGAATACATTGCTTCATCTATAATACTCACTTACCTGGAATCATCAGACCTGTAATGTTTGACAATGAAGCAGTTTTTGTTTAGGTACAAAATAAATGTACGTAAATAAAAGGATACAACTGCAAACAAAAGAGGAAAAATAAGTGCTGGACAAAAAAACAAGCAGAAAAACCACTAAAGAAATGCAATTTAAGCTTTACTGGGTTCTGTGTAAGGAGTTAAATGAAGTGATTTGATAGAGGAGTTATTGTGCTGGTAGCTTTCTAGCATTACGGCCCCCCCACACAAGCAGCGGGGTGTCCTCGCAGTGCTTTAAAGTGAAGGTGTGGTCGCTGACACTGCACTAGAAAATCTCCGGACTGCTTCTTAATTTCCCGTGGTGGTAAACAAACACACTCTGCCTCCTGAGCAGGGAGGAGCTGGCACTGCAGCAACACTGACACCAGCACTGGGCCCGCAAACAATATACGCAGCGGGATCCTCAGTGCACCCACCATCAGCTGTGAGGAACCCAGTGTTTCTGGATAATGAAGTGTAATGAGGTGCTAATCCATTGAATGTAAAGTACCCTGTGCGCAGCTCTAGCTCACTGGAGCGCTGGCAGTAAAGGAAATGAGGTACAGGAAATCAATATCCATAAAATGGATACATTTGCGGCACAATTAATCACAACTAATTTCCAATCCTCCACCTTTTTAAAATCCTCAGTGTAAGTAAAATGTTCTTTGTCGAGTGTGCTCATCATTTTGTAGGAATGTAGTACAAATAGTATTTCTTCATTGTGTTTTGAAGGTGTTCTGTGCGGCGTGCTGCAGCCTGAAGTGCAGGCTCATGTACATGGACAGGAAGGAGGCTCGCGTCTGTGTCACCTGTCATTCTGCTCTGACCAGTGGTAAGCAGCTTTGCAAGTAGAAAGTTACATTCTTTACAATGTATATGTGGCTTTTTAAATGTACGCTTTGTATATTTCAATGGAACTGAGGATGCTGCTCTAGTCAAAAAGACATAAACCATTAAAAACAATTAAAATATTGGTCCAAAAAGATATTTAGTTTTGATCCCAATACTCAAAAGGTTAATATTGTGGTAAACTTAACCTACATAACTGGTTGTACACAGAAATGAGTTAAATTCAAAGAAAAACATATGATTTTTGTAATTGCATCCAGTACATGTGAAGCATTGAACTGTATGTAGTATGGTAATGAAGCACAGAGACTATAAATAGTCCCTTTTCACAGCTGACATTTTGACACACAGGAAAGCACAGGTGTAATGAATAACACTAATTACGAGTTTCATTCAGGAGTCTACTGGCTCAATGTAATGACTTACTGCGCCACTAATTGGGAGAAAGCACTCGTTAATTAAATTAGTTCCACCTGTGCTTGTCATATGACATTCTGTCAATCGGCTCAATCGGGATGAAATGGACCTTTGCCTGGTTTGTGGTCGAGATCAGATGGCAGCGGCAAGGGTTGTGATAAGAAACTGCAGTCAAGTTGGACAGTAGCTTAAAAAGAATATACAGGAAGTCACAGAAATATTTACATCCTGTTAGAACTATCAGACCATGTTCTGTTTTGTATTCATTTCAATGTAGTTATAGTTGCAAATGTGAGTGTATCTGGCGTTGTATTCTATCATTTGTTCTTTTTGTGTCTGCATTGTTGACCACTTTGTCATTTCTTGTTTTGATAAGCGCCCTCTAATCAAGCTTTTATTATTATCAAGCACATATGTTTGGTCACAGATTAAACCTTCATAGCCTATAATCTAAAATATTACATACAAAGGGATTTTTCTACAAAACAGACACAAATTAGCTCTTGGATCAGGTGACCGCAAAGCATTTCCCATCATGCCCTTGGGCTTGCAATTGTGGGAGAGCAGCTGGGATGCCTGGCTCTAGAAACTGCGTACGCCTCAATATCATGAGGATATTGTTTCCCAGTGCATGACATCATCAAGTAAGGCCAAGTCTGGACAAATAAGCCCAGTGATAATTTAATTACCAATATTTGTCTCTTTATAGATTTGGCATTTTCCATTTTCTTTCAAAAAAGCAGTCACCCACACACAGCATGGGACATCTGAATGTAGGATTTGATGTATTGCTAAAATTACATGTTTTACTATCATGATAGCAAGAATGTGTCTGTGTTTCAAGTCTAAAAACTAATGATGGTGTTTTCTCTCTCGATTAGCTCCATCTTGGGAGACGCCGGCCGCTGCAACCAACCACAGTCCGAACCCCAACAACCCGTCAGAGTACTGCTCCACAATCCCCCCCCTGCAGCAGGCCCAGGCCTCGGGGGCCCTCAGCTCCCCCCCGCCTACCGTCATGGTGCCTGTGGGAGTCCTGAAACCAGCTGGCAACGAGGGTACAAACTTTACATTGAATAAAAAATGCAATTGAATTTGTTTACATTTTACAGTGGCATTCTGTCCCCACTGATTTTAAAGAAATATGTGATATGCTACTTATGATAAGGGTTTGCTTGCATGCAGTTTTCTGTAACCTGGTGATTGTCTCATCTTCAGGGACCCTGACACGGGAGCAAAGGAGGGTGTGGTTCGCTGACGGACTGCTACCTAACGGAGACGCATCGGAGTCCCCAAAACCTGCATCATCCAGTCCGGCCCCCTCCCACTCAATGGCCATATCAATGTACTCAAACAAATCCTGCACTGCTGAACACTCAGAGGTACGCTCAGCACGACAAACATTCACCCTCAGCTAATGCTATTAGGTGAGCGTGTAATGTTCACATTGGCTAGTCTGAAGCAACAAAGAACTCTTTCAGTGGGATTCTTGGTGGTTTACCTGCGGGGTCACAGACTGCAAAACATTCAAAGGAAACATTCCTTGTTTGCTTAATCAGATAAAGTTTCCCTCAGAACAAATACAACAAGTACAGTCTGGTTGGTTCTGTTGTTATTGTTGCTGCTTTTACACTAATTTGACCTCTGTTGATAGGTAATATGATTGTTAGTGATTGCCAGAGTTGGGTGTAACGCGTAACAAAGACAAAAGTAATATTATTACAGTAACGCGTTACTGTAATAATATTACTTTTGTCAGTAACGGAATAATGTAACGCGTTACTTTTATAATTCAGTAAGCACACTACAGTTAGCCTACTAACATAAAGAATCACTAGATTCTCCCTTTGACAGACAAGAGGGATTTCCGCCGCAGGTTTATATTTACGTAACATTTGCGCGACTTGCGCTTCCACATGCAGTGCATAAACATGGCTGAGTCAACAGCGATAACTTTCGAGGGGTGGAGGTATGCCCATTATTTTGAGATCTTCCGAAGAAAGGACAGGAATGTGACGGTGAGGTGCAAACTGTGTCCAGGCCAGAAGCTTTTATCCACTGCTGCAAACACAACGTCAAACCTCAACAAGCACCTGCAAAGACAACATGCTAACGTGAAGCTAATAGCTAAGGAGGACCTCCGAATCCAGAGTGAGGATGTCGAGTAAAGTAACGAGTAACACTGTAGGTGCGCCGCATTTGCGCTTCAGATGAGGCTCCCTCCGCAAAATGAAGCACCCTCCGCAGTCTGCGTGATCTGCCTGTAAGGAGGGGCGGCTCTGCGAGTAAAGTAACGAGTAAAGTAACGAGTAAAGTAACGAGTAAAGTAACGCGTTACTTTATGTAGAGAGTAACGAAGTAAAGTAATATATATAACTTTTTTTTTTAAGTAATATGTAATATATTACTTTTTTTGAGTAACGACCCCATCTCTGGTGATTGCTCAGACGGCCTGCTCTGCAGACAGGACTTGAGTATAAAATCTGACTTTCAATCTCAAACTGGCATAAATTCAGTAATGAAAAGATTTTAATTTACTCAAAAGCAATGTAGTCTGATAGGAATAGGAAGTACGTACGTTTTCTCGGAAATGTAAGCTTTAACCTTAGTCTCTTTTTAAATATTACCCTCTTCCCGGCTCCCTTATACAAAGTACAATACACCATATTATCATTTAAAAAAAAAAATGTAATTACGTTTTGGAGAGAACATGAACCCTTTCTGTCTTCCATAATCCATAACGTACACCTTTTTTGTACAACAGTATTACAAATAAAAAAAAACTGAATTCATTCGTTTTTTGGCCATAAGAGCACACGGATGTATCTATAATCCTCATCCAAACCATTTTGCATAATCAGGGTGTCCGCGGGGTCTTAAAAAGTATTAAAAGTTGATAAATCAACTTAAACGGCAAGGTATTACATTTTGTAGCTTGTTTTCAATAAGTATATAAATTGTCCAAAGAGGTTGTATTCTACAGTTTGCCTGAATGTAATCATTGCGTAGGTGTGTAGTGTGATTCTGTGTAGTTTATTTATGGCATCCCGTTGGATTTGACGTCATCTGAACAGGACATCGCACGCTCACTGCTTGATAGCGCGCGAAGGTCCGTTTACGCCGGTTGTTAAACAACATCGTTATGGGGAAATGCAAGTTTGCGTCCAACTGGTTGGAAGATAAGGAGGAAGGACAATCAATACTGTATATAGTAAATGTGAGGTGAAGTGTGTCGCCAATGTAACCGGTTAGAACTCGAAGTGGCGATGAGGTCTTAAAATGTATGGGAAGGGTCTTAAAAAAGGTCTTAAAAGGTCTTACATCTGACTTCAGGATTCCTGCATATACCCTGATCATGCATATCAATGTATGTTATAACTCACACTCCCCCCTCGCCCCACAGGCCTCTCACACCCCTGTGGCCCCGGTGGGCAGCCCCGTGGGCAGCTCGTTCAGCCTGATCCCGGAGGACGGTCTCCCTCCCATCCTCATCTCCACCGGAGTCAAAGGAGGTACGGGAGGCCACATCACAGGTGCTTGCCCTCATCCTCACCATTCTGCTGCCTCCTCATGGCTGCTGCTGCTGCTGTGTTTGTGCTTGTTCAGTGTGTTTTACATGTGCTCTGTTTCACGGCTCATGTTGCGACCACTCATTGTCAGCGGGGCGGGGGGGAGGAGAGGGATTCGTCATGGGAACGCAGTGTTGATGTCCTAAATAACTGGGAGGGAATCTATCTGTTATCATTTCCTTCACTTACCTCACATGCGACTCCTTTATCATCCTCACTCCGACATGTCCCGCCCTCGCTCCTTCCCGTCCATTTATCTAACTTTACCTCAACGCCTCCCTCCACCCTTCTCTCCTTCTTTTCCTCCACATCTCCTGCAGACTATGCAGTGGAGGAGAGGCCTTCAGAGATCGTCCTCATGCAGCAGCTGGAGGAGGGAGGCCCCGACCCCCTGGTCTTCGTGCTCAACGCTAACCTGCTCGCCATGGTCAAGCTAGTCAACTGTGAGTTACCCAGACGTTCCTCTACCACTGTTTGAATATTATTCACACTAGGAACCTCTGGAGGAGTAGTGCAAGGTTCTGCTTGTAAATAATTGGTTTAGTGAACTGTAGATCTAAGAAAAAGGAGAAGTTAATATTTGTACTGCATACATTTGTAATTGTGCTTTACCTAGGCTTTTGTCTGTGAATTGCAGAGAAACCAAAATTATGATTTGTCTTTTTTTGTACCCATTTTCAAGCATGGATTAACCAGTTAATTCCTTTATACATTTTCTGAGTGTGCTGCCTATTGTATAATCTGCAACAATGAGCAAGCATACACTTCAAACACGTTAAGTTGTGATTTTATTTCCCATTAGTTCTTATGCTGTATTTAAAGTGCTGTGCTGGATGTTCATTTATTCATTTGAGCACTTAGCAGGTATGAACATTTAAGATCTTAGCTTAAAGTTTTTAGGCATTTCAAGGGGGCAGAAAAAAAAACACCTTGACGGATGGGACATTACAGTTTCTCAATGTTAAATGGTTTAAAAACATAAGGACACCTAATAATTCACATTGTAGCTCTAACTGTTGCTTGTGAAGTTTACTAAAAAAGCAAGGAACAAGACACACATTTCATTTCTGTCTATTTTTAATCTTGTGCTGGTGTTGCCTTTATGTAAATCTGACTAAAATTAGTTCAGACTTGTTTGGGAATCATTACAGAATTGTGCTATATTGAAATGATTCCAAGGAAGTTTACTTTTTAAAAAGTTTATTCAGATGCGAAACAATCATGTTTTAACTATCTGAAAGAACCATAAGAAGTGTATGGCTCTGATGTAACTGTCACATGCAGCAAATAGTTACTGTGTTTCTCAATGTCGAGTAAAGCTGCTGCAGAGCCACTATTTCAAGCATACTACGTCATCGAGTGGCGCCGAAGGACTGTTTAAATGCCCAGCATACATGTGCTACCAAGCAAGCCTCCTCGACATTGAGAAACGGCCCTTGACTCTTTTTCTGTTCTTCCCCCCCCACAGATGTAAACAGGAAGTGCTGGTACGTGACGACGAAGGGCATGCACGCCGTCGGCCAGGCAGAGGTGGTCATTCTGCTCCAGTGTCTCCCTGACGAGAAGACTATCCCCAAAGATATCTTCACACACTTTGTGCAGCTCTACCAGGAGGCCCTCAGTGGTGAGAACACAAGTAACAGCTCCACCAGGAGGCACACTGTAAAACTAGTCCACCTGCACCGTGGGCCCCTGTGGAGGGAGATGGCAGCTCATTAGTAGTCATGAGTCTACCTGTCAGGTGCTGTTGTGTTAAAAATGAGCCAACCTTAAAGTAATGTAAGGCGGAGAAATGTCCCAGCTCTATTTCTTGTTCCATAGAGACAACAGGTGTTCCTAGTTGTCCTCTATCTGGAAACCAGGTTACTGTTCACCGCTGCTGAACTGCGTCTCTGCCTATTTCTACTACTACTTCTACTACACCTACTACTACTACTACTACTACTACTACTACTACTACTACTACTACTACTACTACACCTACTACTACTACTACTACAACTACACCTACTACACTTCTACTACTACTACTTCTACACCTACTACACCTACTACTACTTCTACTACACCTACTACACCTACTACTACTTCTACTACACCTACTACTACTTCTACTACACCTACTCTAACCTAACTACTACTACTACACCTACTACTACTACTACTACTACTACTACTACTACACCTACTACTACTACACCTACTACTACTACTACTACTACTACTACTACTACACCTACTACTACTACTACTACACCTACTACTACTACTACTACTACACCTACTACTACACCTACTACTACTACTACTACTAGTACTTCCACTACTACTACCACTACTACTACTACTACTTCTAGTACTTCCACTACTACTACTACTACTACTACTACTACTTCTAGTACTTCCACTACTACTACTACTACTTCTAGTACTTCCACTACTACTACTACTACTTCTAGTACTTCCACTACTACTACTACTACTATTTCATGAAAAATGGTCTAAACATTATCACCCTGCTGTCAGGTCTCCTCCCTCGGGGTGTGACACCTCACCAACGCTTGTCTTGCGTTTTTACCCCCGTATGCTGCAGAGCACAATCGGCTAATATCGGGTGACTTTGACGGCTCGCTCCCCTCAGGCTGTTTCCTTTTTAATATTCTCACTGGAGCAGTTTCAGGCTGTTGGAAAAGAGCCATACTGTGTGTGTCGTTCCTGATTAACTCACCGCCAGTCAGGACTGGGGAAGAACTGCTGGCTTTAGCAAGTCCCGGCCCCTGAGCCTCGTCATGCCGTTTTTGCAGTTTATGGCATGTAAAGCCAGCAATCCCTCCCGCATATAATTAGTAACATGAACCCTTTGTGGGTAATATGAGGCTCTAGGGCAAACATATCTTTATATTCATTGCTGTAGAACTCAATTCAGAGTCAGCAAGGCTCCAAACATTCCACACAATAATCCAAAGTATCCATTTAAAGCCTGGTTCTTTCTCAAACATACTGCAACATTACAGTGCCCAACACACTTTTCTGTATTTACCCCACCCCTTTCCGAAGAAAAGTGTAATATTACTGCTATTTTCTCCCCCACCACCATGCTGTTTCACCAACCCCCCCTCTTTATCCTCACATCTCCTATGCCACTAACCTCTCTCCTCTCCTCCCCTCCTAAAGGCAACGTGCTGAGCCACCTGAGTCACTCGTTCTTCACGCAGAGCTTCCTGGGCAGTAAGGAGCACGGGGGCTTCCTGTACATCAGCCCTTCCTTCCAGTCGCTGCAGGACCTGCTGCTGCCCAACCCGCCCTACCTCTTTGGCCTCCTCATCCAGAAGTGGGAGACGCCCTGGGCCAAAGTCTTCCCCATCCGCCTCATGCTGCGGCTGGGCGCAGAGTACCGCTGTGAGTCAGGGCTTCTGGGGTTCTCACTGTAGACGGTAGCAATAGTGATAGGGTACTTAATACAATTTAATGTTATTTTAAAGCGTTTACACACCGTTTTATTCACATTTAGTTTTATTGTCTGTGAAGAAAATGCAAAAAAATCTCTATACACACACAAATACAATTTCAAAAGTGAATTCTTGTCCTTGGAAACGTAGTATTAATATAATACTATATTTGTTATGGAGCTTTCTTTAATAACACATGATCTCCATAAGCAGATTATTGTTTTCCAGTAAACGTGGAAGTGTAGCTTTTCATATTTTAATGCATTTTGCCATTTTTTCGCTGTTAGAAAAGTACCTAGTTTGCATTACAAGCAAAGAGATCAAGGACATTCTGGGTGACAGAGCAAGGCACCTGGCTACCAGAGAAATCCAAGCTGGAATAGTTTGTAGTTCCTGCTTGTAGTTTTAGTTCTCTCACAGCGCTGGATGCAGGAAAGAAAGATTTTGCAGCTGATTTTGCAGCTTCAAACTCTGCTTTCTGTTTTAATTTGAGCACACTCTAAGAAATGTATTGCTTTATTCATTTTTCAACAACATTTATAAGATATCTACACATTAGGGGCAGGATTTTCCTTTAACAAAATGTATATGTTTCTGTCATTAGAACCAAATGTCACAATTTGGAGAAAGGGAGAGCTTAGAGTGTCAGTGTCCTCTTATGGTTGGTTTGATGGTTTCTTTTGGTAAATATTCAGATCTCGTTTAATCCAAATAGCTTAGTATGTCAGTTGTCAGAAGACGCCTTTATACATCAAACTAGCCTGCGTTTCTCACGGCTTCTCGCATGAACCAGGACGTCTTGTGAGGGGGTTTATCGGAGAGCCTCCTCTCCCCCAAATCCCCTCTCTCTCAGCCGAGCTGCCTGCCTCCGCTAAGCCTCGCCTGCTTCCAGCCTGGATGGAATACATTAACACGGCCACATACAGTCCAGGCCCTTCAACACTAAAGACCCTCATCACCTCAAATGAATCTGCCTAACAAACGGTGTAGCTCTCTAAGTCATCACCTCTGACCTGTAGTAGTGTCCAGCGGTTTGTGCAGCACGCCATCGCACAGATCTCCGCTGAACTGCAGATTTGTTTTTTATTGCTAATGAGAGTTTGTGGCGAGAGCTTTTTTTCCAGCTGTTTGCTGAGATAAAGCTAAAAATAGTCATCTAAGAAGCTTTGGTTGCTGGTGAAAACACACCCTTAGTTATCAGTTGTGGATTAGGAGTGTTCCTCTTAACGGCAGGGGGTGCTCTCTTTTTGATGTGTGGGGTCTCTTCAGTTCATTTGCATTAATGAGTGAAGAGGAAAAAAACACAGGAAACGCAACTTGGAAAACCTGGAAACACCTGCAAAGCAAAGCAAAAATAGGCATGGAACCGAGAGTGGGGAAATAAATGAATATAATACAAACAATCAATAAGAAATGTTTTAACAGCAGCAAAGTACAGTTCAAATCATTTTAATGTTTTCTAAGACCTTTCTATGTAATGCCACACATTGTTGAAATATTTATTCTAGATAACATGTTGGTTGTAATACCTTTCCATTGTGGATTTATCAACAACTAACATTTTGTTTTGCAGTCTACCCCTGTCCGCTGTTCAGTGTGCGCTTCAGAAAGCCGCTCTTCGGAGAGACCGGTCACACTATCATGAATCTGCTCGCAGTGAGTGCCTTTGTTTTTCTCTTCCTGTATTATTATTTATTTCCAAGGCTTAAGAGTTCTGCTTTATGTTGTTGAGGAATAGCATTTGCCTGGAATACATTTTCCAAACTGTAGTGCACTCTCTGAAGTCAGACAGAGATGACACGTTACCAGGGTTGCAGTCGAATAGTCCATTTAGCTTAGGAACCTTCCTAACGGAGTGAAATGACCCGGAAGTCCCTCAGTGGCAGCCATGATAAGTGCCGTTCGAATTTTTTAGATGATAGGAAAGGAGGTTTCAAACTTCCTTTATAAACACTGGACCTCCCTAACCGAAAGGAGAGGAGAAAATGCTGCCCCACAATGCCTTGCGGCCGCAGAATTTGCCGTCACACAACATTCGGCCGTTCACGGAAACAACCGATTATGAACGAGAAATGATATCATGAAAGTTACGGTGCTTATTAAGCTTTTTAAAACGTATGTGGTAAGTTGCCAAAGTGCTTTGTTTTGAACGTAATCAGTATTATAATCAAAAAGAGAAATTTGAACGTTAGTTTTTTACTGAAATGATCAAATAAAGTCAACATTTCACAGTCTTTACTGAGCTGTGTGGGGTTTGTTCAACTTTTAAAAGATGTTTGAATGGTGATATACACAGTGATAGATGTTAAGGACTAACGTTTATAATAAATACATTTGTATTGATTTTAAGATCTTTTCATACAATCATACGTATTGGGATCATTTGTATTAATGAGGACCGGAGGGAGAGGGTGACGAGCATAAGTTTCACTTTCCTTTTTTATTTCAATTCCAACTTTGGTCATGAAGAATATGTTTCTCTGTTGTCCCCGTTCATAAAGCATAAAACAACAGCATCAGAGCACGGTGCAGAGTCTCTAGATGAGTTTACAGTAGTCCCTCGTTCTATTAAACATTAAACATCCATGTTGTAGTCCGCTGTATAGAAAACTGTAGTTTCCATAGTTTCCCCACAGCAGCAGGCGCACATTTATGACGTCCGCTGGCGCATCATAAACACGTCGGATAGTGAAAGTGCAGTCGATTCTCTAAAGTACCGCAGTCTCTTCTCCTAAGTCCTTTTGAATTCTCCTATCCACTATCCCTTAACCCCGTGACGTTTCACTCAGAGGTCAAGGGATAGACGATAGGGATAGACGATAGGAGCTGATTTTTGGACTATTCGACCGCAACCCCAGTCTCTTTACGTATTTGACTCTCATGCAGATAAATCATTTTAATAATACAGTATTCCTTTCCTCTTCGTCCCTGTCGAAGGACTTCCGTAACTACCAGTACACGCTGCCGGTGGTGAAAGGTCTGGTTGTGGACATGGAGGTGAGGAAGACGAGCATTAAGGTCCCCAGTAACCGTTACAATGAGGTGAGTGCCCTGCAGCTGAGAAACACTCTAACATCACAAAAAATGATTGCAATTTCTAAGAGCTCAGTGAACATTACACATGGCTCATTGTGTCCAGTCCAAAAGCAAAATATATTCAACTAAATACAAAGTATAACAGAGAAAGCAAGAAATATCCTAAAAGCTAAAAACCATCGTTAGCATTATTACTCCAGATATCTACTCAACACTATCTGCACTTCGTTTCTCAAAACATAAGGTTGTCACATCTAGAACATTCAACTTCAATATACTTTAAAAAACATCCTTATTCAATACCATTTTTCATACCAAAAGAGAAATTGTCACATTTTAATAAAGGCATAACAATTCAGAAGGCTAAAATGTTTTCTTTACGTGGTCAATATCACAGCAGAATGACTGTTGTAAACATCAACAACAATGCGTGCAACAAAGAATAGATGGCTAGATGTATAAATATGGTGCAAATATTAAAGGTATGCAGGAGAAACTACTACTACTTCTACTACACTACTGCTACTACTAATGCTACTACTAATGCTACTACTACTACTACTTCTACTACTACTACTACTTCCACTACTACTACTTCCACTACTACTACTTCCACTACTACTACTACTTCCACTACTACTACTTCTACTACTACTACTACTACTTCTACTACTACTACTACTTCCACTACTACTACTACTACTTTCTACTACTACTACTACTACTTCCACTACTACTACTTCCACTACTACTACTTCCACTACTACTACTACTTCCACTACTACTACTTCTACTACTACTACTACTACTACTACTACTTCTTCTACTACTACTTCTACTACTACTACTACTACTACTACTACTTCCACTACTACTACTACTACTACTACTACTACTACTACTTCCACTACTACTACTTCCACTACTACTACTTCCACTACTACTACTACTTCCACTACTACTACTTCTACTACTACTACTACTACTACTACTACTTCTACTACTACTACTACTACTTCCACTACTACTACTACTTCCACTACTACTACTACTACTACTACTACTACTACTACTACTTCCACTACTACTACTTCCACGTCTACTATCAGGATCCAGTTCTCTCTCTCTTTGTTATTATTATCTTGATTGACACTGCTTTCATACCAGCCAAACTCGTTTTCTTGGTAGCTCGCTTAATCTACAAAACCTTTCTATTCAAACATGTTTGGCATAAAAGCAGATTCTAGAAAAGGAGAGAAGGCAGAGAAGTCTCATGTTGCACGATTAAGCTCTTTCCTCCATAATAATAAATCATCTCTCTAACGAAATGAAACCCTCCACCAGACTAATGACATCAGTGGAGGAGGCTCCCTTTAAGCTCATGAATATCTCACACACACACACACACACACACACACACACACACACACACACACACACACACACACACACATGTTCAGTCTGTGTAGGTGATGTGTGACAAACTCTCCAGGGCCCTGCAGCTGATCCGTATGCGTGGGAGAGTTATAACGCTCCCTTGAGGGTGTGAATGAACGTCTGACCAGAATAAGAAGCAGAGAAATAGAGCCTTGGTGAAGAGCTGGGTGTAGCGTTTGGCTGCGGATTCTCCAACAGATGGGAATGCAGTAATGTGAAGTGGGGAGCGTTTCTCAACAGCTTGCAGACGAGCGATCAGCGCAGCAAGTGGTTAAAGCCCTCCAGATTCTCACTTTTATTTCTGATTTGCGAAGGGCGTCTTCAAAGAGAGGGAGGGGATTTAGCAGAATTAGCGTGTGGATCTTTCTACTATTGATACCCACCCCTGTCAACGGCTTCTCCACACAATCTGTCATCTTAACGCCGTCTCATTCCACTCGAGGACCTCACCCACATTCCCTCTGCAATTAGGCTTATCCAGGCGGCCTCTGGGTGCGTTTACTGAAACACAACAGAGGGCAGATTAATTATACATGGGTTTTATTTGTCCATGCAGCTGATGAAGGCCATGAATAAGTCCAACGAGCACGTGTTGGCCATGGGGGCGTGTTTCAACGACCGGGCCGACTCTCACCTGGTGTGTGTCCAGAACGATGACGGGAACTACCAGACGCAGGCCATCAGCATCCATCACCAGCCCCGCAAAGGTGCCGACACGCAAACACATCCATTACCTTTCCTTTCAGCTCTCTCCGTCTGCTTTTTAATATCTGGAGCTCTGAAAATCCTCCTCCTGACTGTCTGATGTTACTCTTTGTCCTGGCTGTTCCCCTGAAATATAATTCAACCTCGATCTATTGTTGATTTGTGACGTTCAACTGAAGTTGTGATTATTTTTGTTCTACAGTTACTGGAGCCTGCTTCTTTGTGTTCAGCGGTGCTTTGAAAGCCTCGTCTGGCTTCTTAGCCAAAACCAGCATTGTTGAAGGTGAGAAAAGTAACGTCAAAATACATGTTGGCTGTAAAAAGGCTGAAATAATAGTTGAGAGAAATGTTTGAAGCTACCTCGCAAAGCTCTCGCTACACAGAAAGAATATTTGGGCACAAATTGTTCAAAATGTAATGGTTTAAACTGACCAACTGGGAAAGTGTCTATACTGTTTATAACATTAATTAGGCTGTGGGGGGGAAATATAAAAACAAACCAATGAGAAAATGCTTCCTGGTAATGTGAATGTTGGGTTAATGTTTTAATTTGCAATGTATTTTATTACCTGAAATACACAAAAAACAGACATCCACATCTGGTTGCTTGATCTGTAAACAGCCTCTCAATATACTTTCATAAAATGTACTAGATCATGATACTGTATATAATATGTATATCATGATACACAAGGTTGTTGTCGTCATTTTTCCCACCGATATCTTCATCTGACAACTATTTTACCATCAATTATTCCACTGTTCATTTTTTTATTTAGTCTGCAAATATTTTTTAAACGCCCATCACAATTTTCTGAAGTCTAAGGTTAGAGTCCACAAAGTCAAAACATATCAACTAACAGCAATATCAAACGGAGAAAGAAGTAAATCCTCACATTTAAAAGCACTGAATGTTGTGCTTTCCAGCGATTTGTTATTGTACCTCCATAACGCTTCTGGGTCTCATAAAAACACTATTTTACAAAATGGTCAAAACATGTCTGGAGAGGTTGAGTTGGACTCTTGTGTTCTTGTGGTGTTCATGGTCCAATCAATGATCTCCTCTGTCCAGCTGCATCGTTACCCTCATCATGAAGTTATCTGATCCTCATGTGTTAAGTCAGCGGCGTTTCCTCTTTTAAACTATTCATTGTTAATGGAAATGGTTGAGTAATTGACTTGCAGATAATTAGACTCTTTGTTTCAGCAGTAATCGTGATAATGGCTCTTTTTTTTTTCTCAGACGGTGTAATGATCCAGATCACAGCGGAGACCATGGACTCTCTACGGCAAGCCCTGAGGGACATGAAGGACTTCAGCATCACCTGTGGGAAAGCAGACCAGGAGGAGAACCAGGAGCTCGTCCACATCCAGTGGACAGAGGACGACCACAACTTCAACAAGGGGTGAGAGGGGGGAGAGGGAGGAAAGAGGAAAGAGAACAGACGGGGAGAGGGAGGGCGGAAGAGACGCGCTTATCTCACGGACAATTGAGCTGATGGGTTCCCAACCGCCGCTTTACTACTTTGCTATAAAAGCGTATTATGCATGCTCGGGGAATCCTTCTGGAGGAAAGGGTTGCCGGGTGGAATGATGTGGTTTGACGAGGCTTTGAGATACACACCAACGCAATCAATTTGACAGCAGTCATGATAAAATCTGCAAATTGAAATGCGAGTGGTTTCAGCTAGGGGTGCATACCCACCCGGTGTTACCGAAATACCGGTTACTGGTGGCTACAGTATACCGTGCCGAAAATATATTTTTTTATAAAAGTGAGGGTCTGTAACCACTGCCAGTCTGAATGGTGGGGTCTGTAACCAAAAATAAAATGGTGGTTTTAGGATTTGGAGGAAGATATTTTTGGTTGTGAGGGTTACGCATATCCATTATATGCTTTAATGTTTTGTTTCTGGCCAACCTCAGCCACAGTCTTAGGCCAGTGATCTCCCTACGAGCCTTCCACTGTAATATCTGTCCCTGAATCCTCTGTTTTATTAAACGCTGTTGTTTTCTGTGTCTTGGTCGTTCAGTGTCATCAGTCCGATCGATGGGAAGTCCATGGAGTCCATCACCAGTGTCAAGATCTTCCACGGCTCCGAGTTCAAGGCCAACGGAAAAGTCATCCGCTGGACCGAGGTAGTCGCACACTGAGGCTCATTTCACTGGTTCACCTGATCTGTACCCAGAAGGACAATTCTTCTCCCACTAGTTTGTCATTATCAACACAAATATATCATGCCTCCGCCTCGAGAATCTTGAACTGATATGGGTGGTCAAAGATCTTGAGTTATGAAAAGTGGCCATAACTCAAGAATGTATACTTTTATGAAGACAACTTACCTTCTCATGACATCATACTATCACTTTTTACTGATACTGTATAACGTGATTATTTTATGATTATACTATGACTTTCTTTTATGCCATATTATTTTTTTGCATTACTATACTATGACTGTTTTAAAACATTTTCTGTACTAATCTAGTCATCTCCTAAAGCAGTGGTTCCCAACCTTTTTCAGTCAGGCCCCCCCTTGGGTAATTGGAAATATTTTCGAGCCCCCCCTAACTTGGTAGAATTAATTGTATATAATGTATAGTTGTATATAGTTGTACAAACATTACATTTTCTCTGCTAATAATAACAAGACAAAAATATCCAACTATAATTGTATTATGGATTGAACATGAACAGAAGTGCTTGTATTGGCAGATGACCCTGTGCCACTGTGAAATAATGAGGCCTAATTTAAACAATTACAAATACGTTTTATCGATCCGGTTCTTTAACAGTATTGTTATAGGTTATTTTTTAGGGGAAAAACTAAACAAATTAGAAACAGAATTCACATTGATTTATGTTATGTATAGTGTGGATTCTGGGCTGCTAGCACACATGACATACCTGCAGTGGTGGTAGTAAGTAGAATTACTCAAGTACTTTACTTATATTGAGGTACTTAAGTATTTTTGCTTCTTTGTACTTTTACTCCACTACATGTATTTAATACCTTTAGTTACTTTACAGATCTGGATGAATGATGTGAAATATAATCAACTCTTAAATCAGACTTTAGTTCCACCTGGAGTAAATTCACAAGCTACCCTGCAGTGTACTACTTTTACTTAAGTACTTGATCTGAGTACTTCTTCCACCGTACACGTAATTGGGGCAACAGAACTCCGAGTTAAGGAAGTTGAAAACGGTGCATTTCCCCGTGTGAATATGATGCCTTTTGGCCAGCTGATGGACAGATTGCTCGTGTTTCCGCGAAAAATACTTATGGCGAATGAGCATTGACCAAATCGAGCTCTGTAGATTGTCACTTTTGAACGCTCTGTTCTCCACCGGCGGATCGGTGTGTGCACGGCGCTGCAGCGAGTCTGTGAGCCCCCCAGGTTGGGAACCACTGTCCTAAAGCGTGTAATGTGCTATATACACACTATATGATGTGCAGTATACTTAACAAGGATTTAATTCAGAAGATTACAGTCATAACTTTAGTCTCTGTTTCTGTACTATTGGAGCTGTTTGTGTTGAAAAGTAAGAACATTGTTAGAGACAGAATCACAGCCCTCATTTAAAACCTGTTCTGCCTCTCAGTTTCTACGACTGTTTTAAAAAAAAATGTCTACTAATCTAGTCATCTCCTAAAGCTTGTAATGTGCTATATACACACTATATGATGTGCAGTATACTTATGTCACATGTATGTGTCATAACTTTAGTCTCTGTTGCTGTACTATTGGAGCGGTTAGTGTCAGAAACAGAAACACGGCCTTTAATTAAGATCTTTTATTTGATGTGTCCTGCCTCTCAGGTGTTCTTCCTCCGGAGCGAGGACCAGCCCAGCGGTCTGAGCGACCCGGCGGATCACAGCCGGCTGACGGAGAACGTGGCGAGGGCGTTCTGCGTGGCGCTGTGTCCCCACCTGAAGCTGCTGAAGGAGGACGGCATGGCCAAGCTGGGCCTGAGGGTCACGCTGGACTCAGACCAGGTGGGGAACCTCTTATAATATGTATTATATTATATTGTGTATCATCGTAGTGTTTAGTTGGACTGTAAATAAAACTTAGGGACAAAAGCAGCACGTTTTTTGTGGAATCGTAGATATGACATATAGATATTTGTATTTTTTTGTGTGTAAATACTAATAACTTAAAGACCTCAGAGACCATATCAATTGAATCTTGATGTTTTGCTGACAGTAGTGTGTAGCGAGGATCCAGTCTAACATGTTGTCACGGTTACAGGTGGGTTACCTGGCGGGCAGTAACGGGCAGGCCCTCCCCCCTCAGTACCTGAGCGACCTGGACAGCGGTCTGATCCCCGTCATCCACAGCGGGGCCTGCCAGCTGAGCGAGGGCCCCGTCGTCATGGAGCTCGTCTTCTACATCCTGGAGATCGTCTCGTAGGAGCCTCCGAACCCCCGTTTACTTTCTGACGTCAACCCCCCCCCCCCCTCCAGCCGTTTGACCTTCACCAGAGCCCGGAGACTGAGGCGGGTCGCAGCATCTCGTCAGCATCTCGTCAAAACTATGCATCGAGTAGCCGGGTTCCTGATCACATGACCCTCAGCTGACAGAAACCCTGACCCCTGCTGGTCCTCTGAGGCGCTGCGAGCAGGACACACACACCTGAGGTCAGACTGTCAATCAGTGTGTGTCACAGCGCCGTGATCAACTCCCTGGAAGGATTTATCGTATTTACATCATTATATTTTACACTAATTAACAGAAAAATAGGATTAGTCGGAACTCTACAAAATCGAATGACTTCATTTAATCATCCGACCTTATTTATGATTTACTCTAACAGTCGATTAGAGAAGCAATACCATTATTAAACGTAATATGCAAATGGAATTTTCTTTACAATATTATAAATTATCATAACTAAGATGTCTAATAAAAAGGTATTTAATACACACTCATTTTAAGGGTTTTAAAAATAAAACGCAAAGGATATAAGTGAGTTGAATTTAAGAAGGTGCTCTATTTATTTTATTTATCTCCAGCAGTCGGATCCTATTCCACTCAGAATTTCTCCCAAGATCCCGCCTAGCTCCACTTCTGCTACACCTCATTTTTATTTGTATTATATCTGGCAGCTGAGCAGTTTCATGTGGTTGCTTAGCGTCACATTTCAGAGGTGCAGAAACGAAGGACTTGATGAATAGTAACGCAATAAACTATTAATAATAATAATAACATCCTTATTAAATGGTGGTTTTCTGTTGATCAGTGTAAAAACTAAAGCCACTTGTAAAACAATGATTTCCAGGGAGGGTGGATACTTTCGAAGCTGTAGCTCATCGTCACGGTAACGTCACGGTAACGTCACTGTGGCAGCCGGCGCTCCTGAAGCTCTGTGTAGCACGGAGACTCGTATCTACTGCTGAAAGAAGTCCGGACTATTCCTTTTTGCAGCAACGTTAACAAAAAGGAACTCTTTAAATCATCCGATGAGGAATTCCAAGGTGTTCCTGTGTGGTGATTTTGATTGTATTTGTTGCACCGTGGTGCTCAGTGCCTGCAGCAGAGATCCATCAAACAGAAAAAAGAGACATTTAGCTTCACCTCTTTTAAGCTTTACCATCAAACACCAGAGGCTTTACTTCACGTACCTGTTGTTAACCTTTTTGTAAGCGGCATCTGTAGCCTCCAGAGATGAAGACGGCGTTACTGAAGCAACAGAAAGCCCTTTTGTCCAACAGCAGATAAAAGGAATCGGAAAAAGCTTTATTGACAAACTGGATCTGAACATGAAGCTCATCATCATCAGTGCTCGTTGTGTGTCCTCCACTCAAGTTATTTCAAGGAGAATAACTGTTGAAGATGTAAAGATATATAAATAAATATATATATATATAAGAACTGTATTAATTTGCAGAAGCAGTGCACTGGATTCTAAGCCATTAACAGGAGAGTGAGAGCGAGCTGCCGTTGTGTCCTGAAAGACGTTTTTATTTTCCAACGGCAGAAGAGACAAGTGTTATTGAAGATCCTGCAGAAACAAAGAGTTGGATTTGGACCTGAATCTGAATGTATCATCCTTCCAAAATCATCCCACTAAAGACTTTTCAAAACGTTTCGTAGGAACCGTGCAGATTTTTAGTTCCTGTGCGTCCTCACACAGATCTGCTCTGGACTGCGCTCTCCTGCAGCTTCATGGACCTGGAACAATTAAAGAATGTATTCCTCCTGTTTCTGTTACAAATCTGCAATGTGTGTGTTTTTGTTTCTGGCTAGACTAATCACCAAAAACCACCCTGTCATGTCCAAATGCTCTGTACAGCGTATCTATCATTCTGCATTATGGCAATTCCTCCAGTTTTAAATCAAGCTCATGGAAAAGCAGAAGGGGCTACACAAACAAAATACTGTAAGGGTTTTTTTTAAAGCAAAAACTCGTCGTCATAAGTGAGAATCAGACAATCACGTGGAAATCTGCAGACGAGCCTTCTGAGTTAGACCCGTAGCATTTAGTTTATTTCTCAATCTGAAGTATTTTAGGATCTCGTGTAGCAGAGTAACGCTAGGTCATCAGTTCTGGGTTTATTACTGTGATCAAACCAGAGCGTCTCGATCACTGTGTGACGTTCATCTGGTCTTAGGAGTTAACGAAGAGGAGACAAGGAGTTATTTTTTCTGTTGTTTTTTCGACGCGTGCAATATGTCCTGAATCCAAAAGAAAAAAGGTGCAATTTGTTTGACTGAAAAAGTAGCATTTTGTTTTTTTTATTCAGTTGTAAAATGTTACACTCCTAAATTATAACACTGCATGCAAACCAGCTTGAAACGGTGAAGAGAGAAAATCAACTTTGCATTTTGACAGTTATATCTTTTTAAGTTTGTGGATGAAATCAAAAGATAAATCCATTCGTTCATAAACCGGGTTTTGGTATCCATTTTTTTTAATAAACATGTCAAAAAAATTTAAAAAGCCAAAAACCCTGTGCATCTTTGGTTTCCTTTACACTACAAATGTCAAGAAAAGTGGTCTTTATGAAAAACTGTAGTATATGTAAAATAAATACTTATAGAAAATTGAAATTTGTTGGAGTGGTTTTTAGTTTCTACCTCGGTAGGTTCAACGGTTTCATTTCAACTCGAGTAAAACATGACAATGCAAAATTAAAACAAGAGTTTTTAATTGGTACATTTTGAAGCAGGATAGGCAGATTCAATCCACAATTTAAAACAAAATATAGCCTCGATTCTTCAACATGACATCATCGTTCTTTAGAAACACGTTTTACCAGAAATTAAAATGTTTCAGTGTTTTAAATAAACCTAAACATGCATTGATTCATGAAGTTTTCCTCAGAAGGAGAAACAAATGTGACGACCACCGTAACTATAGGCAACCGAGTAAGCAGAGGTAAATCTGTAGAAGTGGCTCAGAGAGTCGGGCTGCTGCAGAGACACTATTTCAAGTATACTACGTCATGGAGTGGCGCCGAATGCTGGGCATTTAAACAGTGCTTCGGCGCCACTCCATGACGTAGTATACTTGAAATAGTGGCTCTGCAACAGGTTTACTCGACATTGAGAAACGCCCACGGTATGGCTTCTTGTGGAGCATTGATTATAACGCTGCAGGTGAACATTTAAAGGGTCAGTTCACTCATTACCAAAAACATATATTTCTCCTTCCTCTAACTGCACTATGTCTTCTGGTCATTCTTTATAAATCTAACCAGGAGAAAGATGCTCCAATGAAACCACTTACTAGTTACTAAATGTTAGATTTTTTAAATCCACCTTGACAGTAAATATAGGGTCTGTCCCGTGGTTGTTTTTACATTTTGTAGGGATTTTTTTGTCCCTCTGACCTGGCTTAAAGTTGAGATTGTAAATTCATTATTGTCCTTGAAAATTATTTTATTGGTTTTTTGTTGTGTTACAAATTACATATTATTATTTTTTACTCGATCTTCATGGGTTTATGGGTAAGTAAGTAAGAAGATGGGAATCCTTCCTCTAATTTGAGTGAACTGGCCCTTTAAAACCACGGAGATGCATAGTTGGTAAAAGTTGTGCTTCACCTTGTAAATGAATAGTTGGACATTTTGATGAGACACCACTCACGTCTGTACGGTCTGATCATCTCACTGCCAGAAGCAAATAACCCTATTTCCCAAAATGTCAAACTATTCATTCAACTAAAGTATGTAGAGAATAAGATCATCCAACTATGTTTACTAAAAGATGAACTATCATGAGTTATAATGGATGTCTATCTTTGTAGATGATTAAAGATCAGCTCAGTTTGTACTGTTGAGTGTAAACAAGACAAATATAAATCTAACGCACGCAAAGCCACAGAAAGGTCAGTGTGCAGTTTAGTGGTTCCACAGTGAGAGAACAAAGAAGGTGCCGAAGAGGGAGTGTGCTCTTTATATTAGTTAAATAAATTGTACCTTGGCTTGCTCCTTTAACACATATATGAGAGACGCTGCATCTGCCAGTGTTCTCGCGCTGAAAACAAGATACATTGAGTTGGGAGACAGTGCCGGATAGTTGGGATTTATTTAATGGGTTTTGTATGGCTTACTAATTACTTACTAATAGCAAGTGTACTACCTACAGTAGATGGCGGTTGGTAAAGAAGCATTGCTGTGTGTGTGTGTGTCTTTCTGTCTGTGTCCGTGTGTGTGTGTGTCTGTCTCACTCCGTCTGTGTCTGTCTGTCTGTCTGTGTCTGTCTGGCTGTCTGTGTGTCTGTCTGTCTGTGTGTGTGTGTGTCTGTCTGTGTCTGTCTCTGTCTCACTCTGTGTGTGTGTGTGTCTGTGTGTCTGTCTGTCTGTGTGTGTCTGTCTGTGTCTGTCTCTGTCTCACTCTGTGTGTGTGTGTGTGTCTGTCTGTCTGTGTCTGTCTGTGTGTGTCTGTCTGTGTCTGTCTCTGTCTCACTCTGTGTGTGTGTGTCTGTCTGTCTGTGTGTGTCTGTCTCACTCCGTCTGTGTGTGTCTGTCTGTCTGTGTGTCTGTCTCTGTCTCACTCTGTGTGTGTGTGTGTCTGTGTGTCTGTCTGTCTGTGTGTGTCTGTCTGTGTGTGTCTGTCTGTGTCTGTCTCTGTCTCACTCTGTGTGTGTGTGTGTGTCTGTCTGTCTGTGTCTGTCTGTGTGTGTCTGTCTGTGTCTGTCTCTGTCTCACTCTGTGTGTGTGTGTCTGTCTGTCTGTGTGTGTCTGTCTCACTCCGTCTGTGTGTGTCTGTCTGTCTGTGTGAGTGTGTCTGTGTGTGTCTGTCTGTGTGTGTGTCTGTCTGTGTCTGTCTCTGTCTCACTCTGTGTGTGTCTGTGTGTCTGTCTTTCTGTGTGTGTCCGTGTGTGTGTCTGTCTGTCTGAGTGTGTCTGTGTGTCTGTCTGTCTGAGTGTGTCTGTGTGTCTGTCTGTGTCTGTCTCTGTCTCACTCTGTGTGTGTGTGTGTCTGTCTGTCTGTCTGTCTGTGTCTGTGTGTGTGTCTGTCTGTGTCTGTCTCTGTCTCACTCTGTGTGTGTGTCTGTGTGTCTGTCTGTGTGTGTGTGTGTGTGTGTGTCTGTGTGTGTGTCTGTCTGTGTCTGTCTCACTCTGTGTGTGTGTGTGTGTGTGTCTGTCTGTCTGTCTGTCTGTGTCTGTCTGTGTGTGTGTGTGTGTGTGTCTGTGTGTGTGTCTGTCTCTGTCTCACTCTGTGTGTGTGTGTCTGTCTGTCTGTGTGTGTGTGTCTGTCTGTCTCTGTGTGTGTGTGTCTGTCTGTCTGAGAATATCTTTGCCACTTTACGACAGGAAGCTGAAGCCAATGGAGTCTGGCGGCAAAATAAATCTAAAAATAGCATTTAACCTTAAATTGTCTTTCCTACGTGACTATAACGTGTTTAGCTCCTCCCCTGTCCACTGCAGTACTTTGCTAAGCATCGTTACTCATCCTCCTGTCAGTTTCTCATAACTTGGAGCATACCAGTCGCCATCTACTGAGTGCACGTACCTCATAAAACCCACTACAGAAAATCCAGTCCGGTGTTTTTGTAACAGGTTTGGCAGCTAAAGAGCACATTTCAAATATGCAGGATTTGACAGCAACAGTGATTACTTTGGTGTTAGTGCATAGTTGCAGTTCTCTTAACCAGAGCTGTAATAACAGAGGAATATATACACATTCTTCGATATATTATATTAACTTAAGTCATGTCAGCAGGATCAGTTCACACTTCAGCAGGCGAATCTGGATCTCAGCCTCAAAAGGATTCCCCTCATTTCTCCCCTGATGCATCACAAGCTTATATCTGAGTTTAATCTGTGAGAATCAGCAGCAATGACACAAAGCAGGAGAACAACAAGTGCTTTTTGTCCATCAGCGAGCGTCACACTGACCTAGCGTAAACCGTCGCCTCCTCTGAAGCGCAGAGGCAGCTCTCCTGTCTCGCAAAGGTGCAAAAGTTTTATAAATTCAGAGACCCGTGTAGCTCCGAGTCGACTCTGATCAGCAGACCGTCCTCATCACTTCCTGAACTCCATCCTCCTCCGAGTGTTTCTGATTGAGTGCCTTTCATCTGCAAACAGAGGGTCGGGTGAATAAATGCATTTAAACACAGCCTGAAGAATGTATAAGAATTGTTCACTTTTTGTCAGGTTCTCTAAAAGATATGTTCGATACAAAGATCAACACTACTCTCATTATGCTATGGTGGTATCATCATGTCAACTAACTCTAAGAAAAAGACAATTTTCTTCTACCTTTATCTTGTGAGTCGTCCTTAACTTGCAGCAGCATCTAAACGAGAACCTGGGAGATAAAAAGTGAGATGTTTTTTAATTCAATCTTAGCTTTTGTCTGTTGAGATTCCAATGCTGCAGGACCGTATATTAAACGCTACCTGTGACGAGTCGATCACCAGCCATCGCTCGGTGCTCGACTGCATGTCCTGTCCGCTCAGGGGCTCCCGCAGCCGGACCTTCACCTCGACTCGCCCTCCTGTCGGCTTACGACCGTCCATCACCTGGAAACAGAGACACCAAGGTTGAACTCAGAGAGAGAACATCTTGGGTAACTCGGACATCTCTTTTGTTTCATGGTGTTTTTTCTCACCTCTACGATCTCCCTGATTTCACTCTGACTCTCCAGTTTCTCCAGCTTTAGGAGCGCCGTCCCGACCAGCTTGTCGCTCCGTAAGAAGCCTCTGAAACGACAGAGAGCATCAGGTCACTGCCTCCCTGCAGGGGGGGGGGCGGGGGGGGGGGGCCTCTCTGACTCACCCTTTGTGCAGCAGCTCCAGTTTGAGGCCTTTAGTCGTCACCAGCCTCCTGAAGCCGCGGTGGTTCCTGTTTATCGACAGCGTGAAGCTCTGCTTGTATTCTGGTTTCAAACAGACCAAGAGATGAAGCTTTTACATAACACATATTATAGATACATAAACCTGTTATTCACATGATCTGAATTTGTAATTATTTCAAAATAAACTTCTCTATGTAAACATTACATTTCATTTAGCTGACGCTTTTATCCAAAGCGACTTACAATAAGTGCATTCGACCAAGAAGATACAAACTTGAAGAAAACAGAATCATATAAGTACTGGTTTCATAGAGCACATTTCAAGTGCTACTCAACAGGCTTTAGATAAGCCAGTCCTTTATTGGAATATAAGTGCTTTGTTAGTCATTTTATTGCTCGAAGTGGAGTCGAAAGAGATGAGTTTTTCAGTCTGCACCGGAAGATGTGTAAGCTTTCTGCTGTCCTGATTTCAATGGGGAGCTCATTCCAGCATTTTGGAGCCAGGACAGCAAACCAAATCTTTAAGGTGACTCAACATCAACTAACGATGTATTGTAATGTAAATGTCTGTGGGACTCATAAAGGTATTCTGATTGTTTTATTTTCACATACAGTTTGTGAAACCTCCACGAACTATAACACATAATAAATATAGCATAATGTGTCAAAGCTCATTTTCATTTAATGGAAATAATTATAAAATGATATTCATTAAAAATAACGTATTTAGACGGATACAAAAATGTATATCTTACAAAACATTATTGAAGCTAAAGGTTGTATTTTGAGATTGGAACTGTATAAATATAATCAAACAAAATAGAAATATAGTGTAGGTAAGAATGGAGAAACCAGCTCGAGTGCGCTAGAATTTGAAAATACACAACCGGAGAAAATCTGCCACTTCCTTACAGAGCCCCTCCTCCAACACACACGAACGCGCACATGACCAATGAGGGCACGAGATAAATCTGTGCACAGATGGAAGGCTGACAGGCAGGTAGGCCATCCAGTTACTTTAGCCGGGCCGGCTCAGATGATTGGTCGTGCTTTTTACAGTACTACGGCTTCCACAGTGTTTCTGAAGTGAATTACATACCCCACCTTTAACTAAAGTAAAGAAGTTATTAAATAAATGAAGTAAACGGAAAAAAACCAATCCTTTTTTATAATTTGGAAATAAGGAGATCACTCATACAGTCCTAAAACATGAATGTAGCCCCTCAGGAAGACTTTAAAATAAGGTATTTTGTTTCTACACACGGCCCTGTCGGTACCATAGTTACACTTTACAGAAGAGATTTGTCTTCAGTAGAGATACACGCATTTCTGAGAGGAACTACACACAGACCCTGAGTCTCACCTGGAGAGTTAGTGTTCTTGATGACGGCTGTTCTGTGTTTCTGCGGCTGCTCCTGGTGAACAAAACAGAAACAAAACACTTAGAGGAGAAAAGTCTCATGTCTAGATCTCAGCAGCCTGTGGTGACGGCGAACATTAACGCGAGACGTCAGAGTGTCTCACCGCGCTGGGGTACGGGAAGTCAAACTTAATGAAGGCGTCCAGGTCGTTGGGCTGGATCCCTGCAGGGGAGACAGGAAAGAACTTAAAATGACATAAAGCTAAAGGTAGGAGCAATTTATTTTAATGGTAACTACTGTAAGAACAAGAACAAATCCAACACAAGACAATCATTGTAGAAATAACTGTTCACCTATTGGGCGATTTGAAGTCTGATTTTTGCCTTTATTTTTATTTTACCGACAGCAGAGCCAGAAAAGAAAAGGGTAAGGCTTGAAAATGGAATTCAAGATGTAAAATATCACTTCTTTGTTTTCATAACTTTTTGTCCAGGGTTCACAGACAACATGTGGACATGCTGCCCTCTATGTAAGGACCCTAACCCTAAGCCGGGGAGGCTGTGGCTCAGTAGTATAGTGCGCTGAACTTTGAATCAGGGGATAGCAAGTTCGAGTCCCACTGCAGTCAGCATGTCGTTGTGTCCCTGGGCAAGACACTTCACCCCAAATTGCTCCTGTGGGGATTGCCCACAGTATAGACAGTACGGAAGTAAACTCCTTCCGGTTCCTTCGTCAAAACGCAATGCAATTTCTCCATAGGATTTAGGAAAATAGCTGGAAATAAGGTCTGTGGTTGAGACACATTTAAGAGACAGATCACGTTTTGTTCAGCCGGATAATATCCACATGTCTACACTACTTTTATAATTTTCAAATCATAAATCTAGTCCCCAGAAGCAAAATGCTAACGTTATGCTATAAACGAACTACAGCAGGGTCGCTGCTTCAACGTCACGCCAACTTAAGATCCATATTCAAACATACAGATTCTAAATGGTACGAGTTGAAGCGTTTGTTTGAACAGTTTGCAGGAGGCAGGCACTTGCTTTCAAGCAGAACAGGGCAAACAAACTTAGCGGGAGTGTTTTACGTGTTCGGCGTAATGACGTACAACGGCCTCGACAACTTCTGTAGTCCTATTCAGCCACTTGGTAACAACCATCGTTCAGACACGTCAACTCTTCAGAAATCACCAGTGGGGTCACTGCTGATGGATTTAATGCCGTAGAACAAAACGTGATCTGTCTCTTAAATGTGTCTCAACCACAGACCTTATTTCCAGATATTTTCCAAAATCCTATGGAGAAATCCCGTTGCTTTTTTGTCGAGGGAGCCGGAAGTGGTAAAATGCTAACTTACTTCCGGGTTTTAGGACGCGTCACTGTGGCACTCTATTGAGTATGTAAGTCACTTTGGATAAAAGCGTCTAACAAGTGACTTGTAATGTAATGTCATGTAATGTAATGTAATGTCATGTCATGTCATGTAATGTAATGTAATGTAATGTAATGTAATGACTGAAAGGTGAAGACTTTGGTTTTTACCACTAGGAGCAGGAAGATTCATCCCTTTGACGATCACAACCACCATGTCAGTGCTGCTCAGCTCTGGGAAGATCCTGAAAGACAACAAATAAGGGATTTATTGCTTTAAAATCTACAATAAGTACAAAAAGACTGTCTGACTAAATGACAGAAATATTCAATATATCAAACATATTAAAAAGACAACCGTCAATTTCATGTTTTTTGTCAGCGGAGGATTGCTCCGTTCACTCTGAACCTTTGCAGTTTCATCTTAAATAAAGGAGGGGTCCTCACCTGACCGTGTGGAAGGACCTCTCCTCAAAGTGATGTTTGGGAGGAGGCAGACCTTTGGACTGAGCCAGCTTCAACACCTCCAGGCTCTTCTTACAGCTGTCCGCCATTTTCTCAAACCTGGAGCACGAGGAGGAGGAGGAGGAGGAGGAGGAGGAGGAGGAGGAGGAGGAGGAGGAGGAGGAGGAGGAGGAGGACGACGACACAGACACATAATTAAAACATTTAATCCAAACTTAGTCCAGAATTATAACAGCTTTAGGAGTTTGTATGTAAACTGTTGACACGGGAAACTCACTTTGTTGTTTCGGGGACGTTCCCCAGGTGTGTGAACTGCTTGGAGTGAGTCATACATTTCTAAAACAAAAAACAAAAAAGGGACAGCTGGGAATTCAAATATATATAATATGACAATTTATTCAACTTCAACAAGAGCTCTGGTTACAAATGCTAATATTAACAAATAATTGAAGAATGGACACACAGTCTGCAGTTTTACCTCGTACTGCTCTTTGAGGATCTTGGCCAGCTGTGTGTAGAGCTGCTCTGCTTTCTCTGAGATCTGCACGTCGCTGTGATGAACCAGGATGAAGTCCTCGTCTTCATCACCGGGGGGCGACGGCACCTACAGCACAGAGAGGACAGAGAGGACAGAGAGGACACCTCAGATATATGGAAAAGCAGCACTTCTAATACCCCACATCTCCACTTTAGTCTTATTTAGTTATAATGGTGCATAAGTATTCCATATGAGGGATAAAGGTGATGGTGATATGTTTCAAAATGCACTTCTGGATAGTTAAAAACATGTTTTCAGAGTGAGATACAAACAAAAGACATGAACGTTACATTGACGTGGAAAACACAGTGCAGTGTTTCCAGTTCTCCTCCAATGAGAGTAGCTCCCACTAGCCGTAGAAGTCACATGTTCATTTGCATATTGTTGAAAACATCGTGCATCCGTTTGAATAAAGCATTATGTTGTGTCAGTTGCAGCGAGTGGGAGCTCGGTGTAAAAAGAGAGAAAGACCAAAACAATATTCTGAAAGAAAATCTGAATTTAGACAATTTCCCAAAAGCAAGACGCTGGAATTAGCTTACAGGTGGTTTCTGAAATCAAACCAGCTCAACAAATGAAGATGTGAGATCATTTATATTATTCAAACAGAGCTAATTGTGATCTAATTTCCTTAATTTTTAAATGTTTGTGTCCAAAACTACCGAAGAATAATACAATTATTTAAGATAAGATAGGACTTTATTTATCCCGAGGAAATTGTTGTGCCAGAGTTACAAAAATACAGCAGCATAATAATACAACTGTACACTAACAGTTCAGTAAAAAGAGCAATTAAATAACTACAGGAAACATAGACGGTTATATAATTAATGTAAAATACTGTACAGTGACGAGCAGTATTGAGTAGTGCAAAGAAACGTAGTGGCAGATACGTAATTGCACGTTATTATAGAACAATAATAATATTATCTGACACCCATTTGATACTTTCATCCTCCTCAAGTTCCTCTGACTGGATGAGACCTGTTTCTAACCCTGAGCTGTGTTCAGGTGAGTCATCAGATGTTTCAGAAGCAGAGTAAACGTCTCACCGTGCTGATGTCCACCGTCCGCCCGCTGCGAGCCGCCTCGATCAGCGGCTCCAGGCTCTTGGCCGTGCGCAGGAACGTCTTGGCCTGATCCATGTCGCTCTTCTGCTTGGCCTGCAGAGCCGCCCTCATGTACTGCTTCTTCCTGCCCTCCAGGAACTCCGCTGGACGACAAAGACACACGGAAAACACTGACGATAAGCAACGACAGGTGGATGTGTGCAGAGGTGCTACATGGGAACAGTTATGGTGTTCTCAATGCAAATAAGGGCAGGATGGTGTTGGCAGGAGTCCAGCATAATAATACGGGACTTGTCTGCAGACACAGATTCTAGTGGTTCATAGGTGAAGATTTAGAGCAGGGGTGTCCAAACTTTTCTCACCGAGGTTCACATACAGACAAATATACGAAGGGCTGTGCCGCTCACTAGAGGTGAGATATATTGCCTCATAAGTTCAGTTATAAGTTAGCAAAATCAATCAAATGTAGGTCAATGATGCGTGTGAGTGTTGGCAGCTCATCCCTTAAAACAGAAGCTTCAGATTGATGATAATAAGAGGGAATAGGAAGGGTCTACTTCAAGCTTGTTATGTAATTAAGTCATTGGGCTTTTTTCTTATTAACTAAGATTTGTTAGAAAATGTTTCCAACTTGAATTGACTGAATCTTTTGAAAAGCGGTCTTATTAACACATGAGTACTACTGTGCAATATATGTTTACATTTATATTTAAGAAGTACAATACAAGACAAGCACAAGTTTCATCTGTGGGCCGTATTCCATTATACTTTTTGAATTTGCTGAGGGCCGATTCAAAATGGTCCGTGGGCTGCATTTGGCCCCCGGGCCGTAGTTTGGACACTACTGATTTAGAGGGTATGAGTCTAGATAAGATAAGATAAGATAAGATAAGATAAGAGGTACTTTATTGATCCCAAATTGTGAAGTGTTTGCATCGCAGCAGCATAAATACAAAACAAGGCATTGCACATAAGTAGAAATTAAAAAGTAGAAATAAACGATACTAGAAATTAATCTCAAAATAGAATTAAAACAGCATTAAAAATTACAGTAGACTGTGAAGATAAAACATCTATACATTCTGATAAAACACTATTGAAGAGCTTTAGAGACCATTTTAAAGCAGGATCTTATTCACATTAAATGTGTTAAATTAAATATAAATGTGAAATGTACAGTGTCGAGCTATCCAAAGAAATATCACTTTGTTAAGTAAAGTCCTACTTATTGTGCCTTTAAGATATTCAATGCACTGACAGACAATGACCTTTATGAAGCTGGAAACAGATCAGATTTGGTATTCTACTTAAGAAACTACAATTTAATCATAGAAGTTGCAGGTCCATTCTCTTTCCATCAACTCATCTAATCGACTAATTGTTGCAGCTCGAATGAAACAGTTTTTATGCATTTTCTTTCTCTTGCTTTGTTGGAATATTATTAGTTTATGCCTTATACAAATGTCCAAACTCAAGCTAGAATAAGATCAGGGTTCATACACTTTTTCACCAATGACTTTCCATGACCGTTACCTCATTTTCCATGACCAAAAAAATTACTCTTTCTCAGCGGTACCACTGAAACATTTTTATTTTAACATGGTAAGCTGGAAAATAAGGTCTGCATATGAAACATGTTGTGCCTATCTAAAACAAGTCAAATAGTAGGCGTACTAGCTCCTACAGACTAATGCCACTGTAGACTAGAGGGCGTGATTGTAAAAATCTCTCACCAGTTAAATGCCATTTTATGTTTCATGACTATACACAGGGTTCTTACACCTTTTCCAAAGTCAAATTCAAGCACTTTTCAAGCATTTTCAAGGTGCATTTTCAAGCTTTTCAAGCATCTTACAGCTGTTGTAAATTACATATTTATATACACATACTTATACTCAAATGATTATTTCCCTACCTCACATTAAATCAGATGTTCTTTATGCTATAAACAACCAAATGTGTGTTTCATAATAGCAGTATTTATTATCGTTATAGTATTACTATTTTGGCGATTAGATCAAATATAAATTATATTTGATGCAACTTTGGTTACATTTCCATGACTTTGGGAAAAATATAGTTTTCCATAACTTTTCCAGGGCCTGGAATTTGCATTTTGAATGTCCATGACTTTTCTAGGTTTTCAATGACCGTAAGAACCCAGTAAGATAGTTAACTATGACCTTAGAGCCAACCCAACGTTGGATACCTAGAATATCTCTCATGTTTTTAATCCTCACAGATATTAAATGCTTCACAAGAGGCGGATCTGTGTTTCCCTTCGGGCACTGACCTGTCGCTGAGAGACCCTCCCCGGCGGCTGTTCCTTCTGGTGAAGTCGGACTCTTCCTGCGTTCCTGCGCTGCGGCGGGGACGTCCAACATCAGCTTCTTCGGGTGTTCTGCGCGCTTAGTCTGCAACAAACAAAACACTCCATCAACAATGTGTCCACAAACTCTTAGACAAAGATTATAACGAGCTACAGATAACCCACCTCCTCTTCCTTCTCCCCTTCTTCATCTTCATCAGCTATTTCAGTCGCATCAGTGGAGGCTATTTTATCAGCTGCATCCAGAGCAGCAATTAATCCCTGATCTGCTCCCGCTGCCTTCTGACCCGGGATGGGAGGAAAACCTGAGGGATGAGAGATAATACTTATTACAGTGTCTTAAACATTAGATGTAGTGTTTTGGTCAAGTTCAAACACCTGTCCTATAGCTGGCAGCTTTGAGAGTGATTCAGTTCACAGTAACAACAGAACTGGAAATGAAATCAATTTGACGGAGCTAAATATGACTTGGAAATGACACAAAAACAAAATCTCACCAGGAGGAACCGGCAGCTCCTCAAAGTTGACCGCTTTTCCTGCTTTGTGAGATCTGATGGCACTCTGGTATTGCTGCAGGGAGAGAGAGAGAAAAGCTTTGTTACCACACATTGCTACAAGTAGAGAAGGGCCATTATTGCTTTGACGTCCATTTTCTGGTATTAAATGTCTTTTCTTAAATCATACCCACAATTATCTTGTATGTCGTCATGATGCTTGATAGTAAACGTTTAGCATGAAAGAGGCAGAAGGGTGTAAAGGTAGCTACAGAGATCAGCAGTGTCTCCTCGTACCTTGGCGATGCGGTCGTGCATTCGGGCCTTGCGGTCGTCTCCGGCTGCTTTCGCCTGATTGGACGCTTCTGAGTACTTGGCTCGTCTCTGCTCTAAAGCCTCCAGCACGTCTTTGGGAGCCGATGGGGGGGGCAGCGGCTGAGGAGCAACAACAGTTTGTTATGTGATTGTGATGTGCTATATGTGACATGTATGTAGTAACGTGTGTCGTTTGCATTTTATTGTTCTCTTTTATCCTTACGCCTGTATCTACTTGTCTTTCATCCTTTTTTTATAACTAATGCTGTTGATGTATTGTGATTTTAAGCGTGTCCATTATCATCTGGCCGGGGACAACAGCTGGAAATTAGCTATGTTGGTTAAAGCTGCTTTATTTACTGTTTTTTGTGACAGTTGATCCACGACACTATAAATAAATAAACTCAAACTAAACAGTGAAATACTTTCTCAAGATGTGTTTCTGTTTGTTTTAAGAATTGAACTCTGAGCTAAAGCCATGGTTTAAGGTTTAAAGATGAATGCTAACTGACTCCAACAACCGCAATGTTAACATGCCACCATCTTAGCTTAGCATATTAGCATTCAACCAAGATTCAAAGGTTTTATTGTCATATGCAGAAAGCTACAGTGTAGAGATGGCAAGGAAAATCTTCTGACCTGAGCTCCTTCAACAATCCAACATATATAATAAAATACAAAATAAAAAGTAGTGCAAAAAGTCTATATACATGTCAATAGAATATGATATGTACAAGAACAGAATATGAAATTAAATAATGTAAATTAAGACTAAATTAAATACGTTTTTTCCATTTGCCAAGTAGCAGTGAACACAAAGTGCAGCAGCAGGCTGATGCTTCACAAAGAAGTGCGTTTTCTCCTATTTTGTTAAACATCAAGCTAGGGCTGCTCAATTCAATCGTATTTTAATCGCAATTACGATTTTGGCTTGCAACGATTATGAAAACAACGTAATCGAAATAAAACAATTATCTTTTATTTCTTTTAAATGATTTTTTAAATAGTTTTTTCAGTTGAATTATACTTAAAGTTCAGGGTAATCAACTGTTAAAAACATACTGTTCAACACTTTTTTTTTCAATAAATGGATGTTTTCAAAGTAAATGGATAATCGTTTTTTAATAATCGTGATATCAATTATTGACTACATTGACCTACATCAAGCTGACATTTACTGGTTCATATAAAATGCTGTTAAGAGAAACAAGGGATGTTTGTAAACGGAGCTGCATTACTGGTTACATCACATTTATATTGTGACTAACAGTTGAAGGTATTCCCACCTGGAGCGGATGTAACTGGTTGGGCGACTTCTATGTTTTGCCCGGATGAAGATTTCTTGACGGGAGCAGACACTGAAACACAAACACTGAAGATGAATATCAACACTCAGAAGCACACACTGCAGGCTTCTGTTTACAATATTGTTCTTAATAAAGACAAGTCTAGCAAGTATTGTATTTACTGATCTATATTTCCTTCCTGGAAGATCCTTGTCACTTCTTTTGGATTTCAAGAACTAGGTATTCTCGTGCCTTTTTTCTTTAAAATGATATACCACGGTCTGTGTTTACCCTTAGATGCATAAGTGGGTCTTTTTTTGACCCGGTGAGGTGGTTTTCTTGAAGTATCTTTGTAATTACATTTTTTTATCATTTCATATTCCAGCTATTCCTCAAAAAACATGTTTTGGATATCATGCCATTCTAATTTTGTATTTACATTTAAAGAAATTGTAGTTTTTGTATTTCTACCCCAAGTCAAAAATGACCCGCATGCATTTCCTATGGCATCCTATGGGAACCTTTGATTCTTATCACCTGTTGCTGTCAGGAATACATTCACTGTAGAACACACAGACGACATCACAAGTGACACATCTCAGGAAGATTATTTTACACAGCAAGATCTGATACCTGTCAGTATAATAATAATAATAATAAATTATATTTTTATAGGGCTTTTCAAGGACTCAAAATCGCTTTACAATATAAGGGAAGGTTAGGGTGGGGGGGTATAGGACGATCAAACTTGATCAACCGGCATGGATTGATGGGGGGTGGGCTATGATGAGTAGACAAGAGGAGAAGAGATGAGTTTTGAAAAGGGACTGGAATACTGTGAGGGTCTCAGAATAGCAGAGATCTTTGCATCGATATGTTCAAAACGTTTTTATTTCTAGTGTGAACCAAAATATAATACTAAATATTATACAAGTGATTTTTCTTAACCAAAATGACAAAAATGGCATAAAAACACATATTATTCTAATACGGGTCCTTTTTGACCCACTTATGGAAGAGTGTAGGGTCCAGGCACTCTAAGTGCATCGAAGGGTTAAACAGTTTGCAGCCATAGTATGTGCTTATGTTGCTCTTGTTATACAATATAATAAATTATTATAATATAGCCATCATATTTCACCGGCACAATTACGGTTTATTTTTCTTCTTTCTCAATGATCTTTTAAATATGTATTTTCACTTTTGTATGTGTTTCTTTTGAATGTAACTATGTCTCAAAGTATCAAAGAAACCAAATCATTACACCTATTTTAAAACCTTTGTAACTTTTGTTTGTGCTTATTTATCCCTGTTGTCTTCCGCTTCGTATATTCCCTCTTTTTATTCCTCTTGAAGCCTCAGTTTATTAATGTATAAGTTAGGTTTGTTTGGTTGTGTGTTGCACTCTTATGTTCCTCACCCTGATCTGGGGACGGAGGGAGCTCACTGAGGTCGACCGCTTGTCCTTTCTCCAACGCCTCGATCATCACATCGAACCTCTGCACAGAAACAACACAACAAACCAAAACTGTGTCAAACATAAAGACGGTTCTGTCTACTCCCAAATTGTTGGCATGTTTCACATTCTCCAGAGAATTCTTTAGTCAGAATATGCAGCGACGGGCTCAGACAAGAGACTGCACACATAGTGTAACTGTATACTAGCAATGTTTAGCTATAATTTAAATTTTATATAATTGTGTTACGCTTTTTTAAATGTAGCTTTAAGAGACATACAAACATGTAAATTGGTTTAATTTCATGACTAATGTGAGGTATATGAACTCAGACAAGATGTTGACATAAAGAAAATTATAAGATCCTAATTAAAAAACAACTTTCTTTGGCATTAACCAGGTAAAACAGCGTGTCTATTTGCACTACAGCAGAAACCTGTTCTCATAAAACTTGTTTGAATTCTAGTTGCAGCAGGAACAAGTCTTTATTATATTCATCTAGCTTGTAGTGATACACAGGAACATGAAACGCAACAAAATCAAGGAAACTATTTGACTCCATAAAAATTGCAGTTCAGCAAATATATGTGTATTTATTCATAAGGAAAAGACAATAGGGATTAACCTTGCTGTATGTTGTCAAGGATGTTATCACATTGATTGCCTGCATACGTTTGTAAAAACCATTGACCCTAATCTTATTTGGCTCTTAATATAAAAGCTGTTAATCGAGAAATAAAATAAATCCTCCAGATTCTACAAGGAAGTGGTCCGGTTACACATTATCACATTAGTTACCTATTGAGCACATTTCCACAAACAATTGTATTGACTGAGGAAGAAATGCTGCCACACACAACAGAGAAACCTGTTTTTAGGAGTCAAATGTATTCAAAACAATGCAGATAGAAATCTGTGAACAGGCTGTCCGTTGTCATGTCCATTCGCTCACCTTGCCGGTCTTGAGGTGAAGTCTTGCTTGCTCCACATCTCCCTGCTTCTTGGCTCTCAGAGCTGCCATCTTGTATTCTTTCTGCCTCTCCAGAAGCAGCGTCTTGGTCGCCTCGTTCGCTGTGAATTCACCGGGAAAGAAATGCAGAACAATTACGACAATGAAAGACACACATTCATCGAGGATAGAGAAGCTTACAATGTGATGTGTGCCAAGAGTGATGAAATTCAGAGGCGGAAATTAAATGAAACTTCTTAGTTTTAAAATAAAGTTACTTAGGCTAATTTACCAATATTTGAATAACTTAACCTTTAAATTGTCTCAAATTTAGCACAAACAAATATATAACCTATGTTTTTTTTGCAAACCTTTAAGGTGATGAGTTTTCAAAATGTCATGTATTTCTTTATTTTTCAACACCGTCATTGCATCCGGTCACTTCTGCAATGATCCTTTTAAAATCTGAATGTCACAATCCCTTAAAAATGCACTTTAGTTACTAACTGCTTTCTGAAGACACTAATAGTTTCACTTTGACTCTGTTGCGCTGGTCTTAGGGAATTGGACTGTTTTTGCAAGGAGGTTCATTTGCATAGGAGGGGCCACTTTGGAGCATTTAACCTAATTTGCTAAAAGCACAGGAGCACAGGGATACTTCCTTATGCCATTTGGTCTTATTTGTGCAGGTTGAGTTGCCGAAAAAGCTGGACAATCTGTTTGTGAATTTGTCCTTGCAATTTTCTGAGTTGTGCTTTGATCAAACTGGTGCATTGATGGAAAAAGGGCTAGTGTAACCCTTAGCATTGTTTTAATTGTAAGCTACGGTCTTTTACGCTTTTATATAATAACGGGTATATCTTTGTATAATCACACTGACCATCAGAGGGACTGGTCTGAGCTCTGTCTGCAGGCTCCTCTGGAGAGGGGACGCTGCTCAGAGGCAGGGAGGAGGACGACTGCTCCTCTTCACTTGGGGTGATGATCTCCGGTACAGCAGGCGGGGGCGTTGTGACCTCCGACCCCCCCTCCTGATCTGAGGGACAGGGTTCAGGAGGCGAGGGGACGGGGGGAGGGGGGCGACGGGCAGCAGGAGGAGGAGGGGCGGCACTCGGCGCTCCACTGGTGACCGGAGGAGGAATCTCTGCCTCGTTCACAGGTTTCCCTTTTTTAACGGCAGCAATCATCGACTGCAGCGTCTGTAGAGAACAACATCACCATCAGTACCATCTGGACTTTAATGCATTATAAAGAATGTTTCACTGCACTACAGTAATTCCAGGCACAAAATGCCAACAAAGAAATTAGTAAACTTCTTAAATCAAGTGATTTCAAAGATGACAAACAGCACGATGTCTTTGAGCTAAACTATATCATCCTACAAATCTGTAGCTGTTGGGCATGTGTAGTGCAGCTCAGTATACAGAAAAGGCCTTTATTGAGTACAAATAAACTGCAGTGTTTCCCATACATTGATTTATTTGTGGCGGGCCGCCACAATTAAATATCGTCCGCCACAAATGGATCTCATAAAAAAAAAGAAAATTATTATTATTATTTTTTTTTTTTTTTTTGGTGGTCTAATGGATAGTGAGGTGGGCTGATGATCGTGAGGTGGGCTGATGATCGTGAGGTGGGCTGATGATCGTGAGGTGGGCTGATGATAGTGAGGTGGGCTGATGATCGGAAGGTTGCGAGTTCAAATCCCGCCTGGAACACCACTACTGGTGTGCCCTTGAGTAAGGCACTTAGCCCTCAGTTACTCCAGGGAGAATGTCCCTGTAATTGGTCATTGTAAGTCGCTTTGGAATAAGGCGTCTGCTAAATGCCTAAATTGTAAATTATATTTTTGGGAGAATAAACCCCACAGATCCTCAACTCCGGTGTGTTTCACTCATTAACAACGCAACACAGAGCAACAAGAACGTTGTCAACAGTAGCCATGAAGTCGCATGTATTATCTTATTTGAGGGGGGGGTGGATGCGTGGACCACCCGAATAGGTTAAGGGGCCTTTGGCTTTTCTTTCGGTGCGGTGCCCCCACAAATAGAATCAAATTCTGTGGGAAACACTGAACTGCTTTTATTTGTACTCTTGAATATGAAGAAAAACCTTCAGTTTGGACATGAATAGATGAACTATAAAAATATGCATGAAAGGATCATGTTTATTAGTATATTGAATAGTGTGATTTAGCTGACATTCTCGAGTATTTTAACAAAGATATTATCTTATTGTGAAGTTAAAAATATTGGTACCACAATAAATGAAGCAAAGCACCCTTTAAGCAGCATCTAATGGCTTTATTAATCGTTAATTAATCATTTGAAATAGTTTATGGATTCACTATAAGGGATTCATGAGAACAACAGACTTTAACTCAGACTGAAAACGTTGCTGTAATCCTGCACCATGAGCATGATTCTATCTATATATATCTATACCTTGTCATCAGGCCGTATTTTGACTCACCTTCAGACCACGATCGAATCTCCTGGCTTTGGAGGTCTCCTCTGCAGTTATAGCGTTCTGTAGAGCCGTCCTGTACATGGCGACTCTCTCCTCCAGGGTGTGTTGGAGGCTGCCGGGGGCCGCAGAGGAAACCTTTACTTCCTGCTTCAACACAACAACAGAGAAGAAGTGTCAACATTGTCTGAAAACAGCTGGTTCATCTTCTACATCAGGGGTCGGCAGCCCCTGGCACGCGTACATTTTATTTTCAGTGCCGCTCTCTTTAACTCCAGGCGACTTTCCTCCGTGGTGCAGTGCTGATCGTTTCACCACAGAGGAAAGCACTTCACAAATTGCAGTACCCATAAGGAGCTGTACAAATGCCGCAGTTTTTGCGTGGCTGTGTCTTTAGTTGAAAGCCCAGTGGCGATCTGCTCATCTCTCATCGAAATAATATGCTACACAGGGGCGGACTGGCCATCTGTGTGTTCTGGAGAATCACAGAACGGACAGTCGTCCTTATTATTATGCCGTTTAAACCAATTATTTAAATGTGTTTGTTAAATTCGGCATCATGTAAGTTGCGCTGACAGGTCCATACACTGCTTCCCCGCAGCGAGGCTCCCCCCGCCCTCCTGTTGACAGTTCACGAGCGTCGAGCTCCTCACACCCCCGCCCCCCAACTTCATATCAAAAAGGTTGCCGACCCCTGATCTACACTATGGGTAATTCTCTTGTTTAATTGTTGTGTAAGTATTTGAAGTAGACTGAAACACAGGTGTCAGGATATGTGTTTAAAGGAATGTAGATTTACCAGAAAGAGTAGAACAAGTCTCAAGTGCATCTAATCTACCAGCCATGTTATTAAGTAAACAACTGTTGTTTAGAGACTTTTATAATATGAAAATACAGGGGGGAAAGGGGGATTAAAGATGATTAGGCAGCTAATAATGTAAAACAGCAAATACATTTTCCATTTCTTGTTACCAGTAGCTAACATTTTGACATGTATTATGGTGGCTGAGGGTGTAGGTGTGCCAGAGATCAAACGGTGAATCGAACCTGCGTCAGTGACTCTGGTGTTTCGGCTTGAGGAGATTCAGCAGTGGCAGAAGATTTGGAGGAAAGGGTTACAGCATCCTCAGCTTCCTCCTCACCCACCACTTCCTGCAGCTCTGCCTGATGAGGAGAAGAAGAAAGCAACTGATCAACAGCCAAATACAAGATTTTTGCACTCAAGTCAAACTTCTGGGTTTCATGTATTTGCAAAGTGTTGAAAAGTGACATTTACTCAAGGATCTTATTCAGTCAAATTTCACATCATTTATATTTTTCCTTTTTATGGTGCTTTATACCTCTACCCCACTACATCTTAGAGGGAAGTATTGCACTTTTTACTTCAGTATATATATTTAGAACTTTTAGTTACTTTGTATATTCAGAAAAATACAAAACAATGTAAAAATATAACGTTTTAGCCACTAAAATACCAGTTAAAAATAAAATATTACATTTAATTTGAGGTGCCTTTCATGTGACCGAAGTTGCTAAATCAATAAAGAAACACAAAGTATTCAGATAATTCGGTATTTGTTACAAAACTGACCCTTTTACTTTGCTTTTGCAAATACAAAGCAGCTCTGTGCTACTTGTTTTCAACATAGGGTACCTATTTAAGACCAATAAATAGTTCAATTGTGTACAAACCATGTGGCTGATGGATAAAAGGCTTCGTTATCGAGAATCTTAAAGGCTAAGGAAGAGATATAAATATGCAAAAACAACCAACCAATAAATCTTCATCGTCCTCCAAGTTACTGTCATCTTCATCGTCATCGAGATCGCGCATACACTCGTCAGCCATTTTTGCGATGTCTTCCATGGGCAGCGCACCTACGACACAAACATCATGCCATTTAGTCTGGCTTTGTATTCGAGATCAACAACATGTACGTCTTGGCAATATAGTAATATATATAAATATCAATCATTTCTATCTATAACTAGAAAAACATGTTTTCCAATATATCATAAAGATGCAGAACATTTCTTGGTCAAGTTATTTTGGGAAGGATTTCAGAAACTCAGAAGTACCATAACATACATTTTAGTGAAAAGCATAAAAACAAAGAATGTTTAGCAGCAGCCGAGTACAACAAAACTCTTATTGTACATCCAATACTTCTTATTATTATACCAACAAAGAAGCTTAAAAGGAGCATATCATAGTCTTTTGATTCACATGGGGGAAAAGGTATTTGAGGAAGGGGCCTTTTCCATATCAACATGACACACTGCACAAAGAGGGGTCCAAAGGTAAATAAGCTCCATGTTTGGGTGTAACCAAAGCTGTAGCCTGACAGTTTCTGAACAAATCTTAGACGTATGCAGTGATTTGGACGTCTGTCAACATGCTCTGATCACATGAAGTGCAGTCTAACTGTGAATTGGGGTATATACTGTACATGTCAGCTGATACATAAAAAGGAAATGGAGGTACAGAAATGCTGAAGATTTTGGGTGTCATCATCCTAAAGTTCATGAGATCCTATCAGTATCTGACTTGATAAATACAATATCAATATCAGCCTAAAAAAAAAACATTACTGATCAGGCTATATTTCTGACTCCACACATGGGGACAACACAACTTCACATACAAGTGAAAAGCTCATCAGACCCTACAGATATTGATCCATCATCATGACAAATAACACTCACTTTTCCCCTTCTGCTTGGCTCTCCCTCCAGCAGCAGCTTTATTCCCAGTGATAGCAGCCAGTTCTGCCTCTAAATCCGGGTCCTCCAGATTCCCCTCCATTCCCATCATCTCCTCAGAGTCCAGGTCTACAAACAGACCCATCTGAAACCAGAGAGTACAAGATAAACTTCACCCGCTATCATCAAGACAAATCATTACATAATCATCCTGATCAGTGTTGTTGTTGTTGTTGTTGTCACCTGCTTGGCTGCAGCGGCGCCTTGGCCTCTGGGCTGCGGAGCTCTCTTCTTTTTACCAAACATGTTGTTGTTGTGGCTGGATGTTTAACAAGCCCTTAAGCGACACTCCAGAGATCTAAACTACAAACACAAACACGTTGAAATGATATGTTTCCTGTTGTGTAGTGTCATGTGTGTGGTTGCAGTAGTTAAAGTCATGTGAGCGGTTGTCAGGTGGCTCCCAGGCAGTGAGTGGTAACCCAACTGACGGTTAGCTTAGCTAGCTGTTAGCTAACCGTGATTTTCGCCTCTAACTCTTAAAGTTTGTTTACCAGAAAGAAGGCGACTGTTAGTGTCACTGTTAGCAAACATTAAAGATAGTTTTATCCAGCACTCGGAGCGTGAGTGTCTTTACCTGCTCGTTCAGCACTTCATCAGGGACTTCTCAGAGGAACAGTTTCATTTCAGTTTGACATGGTAATTGTTTGAGTGCGCATGCGCAGAGCGAGGGAGCGTCCAGCGCTAATTTTAAAGGTGCAGCCCTCAGTTCTGTCTGCCGGGCGGCCCTGACTGACCCCCCCATTCACAAAAGACTTGGTGTGAAAATGTTTAAAAATAATAAAGTTCCGTCATTTACAGATAATGATATCATTTATTTTATGGATAACTTGGATGCAATCATTTTGGTAAATGTACAGTTTTTCTCCAATTGTGTTGTTGCATTATTATATTTGTTGAATCCACGTTCATTTGTGTATTCATCATCTGTTTGGTTTGTATATTTCCCTTGTGCCAAATATACAAAAACTAAATAAAATAAAAACCTGACTCCCATTGAGTTCAAGTTGATAATAATTGTGGACACATGTCTGATTTAATTAAAGTACATTTTATAATACGTCTCTTATTATGCAATTATGGTGCCGAATTTCTTTCTTCTATCTTTCATGAAACAGTCCTGTAACATTATGGTTTGTATGTGTCAGAAAAATGTAATAAACTATAACAGTTAAATAAAATACTCTATATCTAAGAATTCCTCACTATTCTCAGATACGTGGCTTTATTATTATAACTAGTTATTGTGTTTTTCTCAGTCAGAATTATTGGGATTGTGCCTCCAACTATTTTGAATCATCTGCTTAAGCCCTTTTTCCACAGTCAGTTGATGCTGCCAGCTAACCAAGGCAGATCTGCCAAATATTTGTTTTTGTGTTACATTTTTGTTTTTTCAGAAATAATACTTGGAAAGAAAACTACTTCTGCTAAAACAAACCAACTGTATATCTAGATAGACATTGAGTCCAACAATAGGTGTTTCATCTTTCTAAATCTTCTGAACTATCTGGCCTAATTTCACAAACAGATGAGAAATAAAAACGACTTTTTATATAAAGAAACATTTATTCACTCCATGATAGCAAACAGAAAAGGACATCTTAATACTTAACAAGCTTCATTATACCAATCCAGTTCAGAAGTTTTAGGAAAAAATAATAATTATAGAAAGTTTAAGCCTGGCGTTTAGTGCAAGAATAATCTGGATTTGGTTTAGGGTTATACTTATAGGAATGAAAGTGTTACACAAACTGCTTAACATGAAAATATGTTCATGAAAAGTCGCAGCCTATGGAGCGATGTTACTAATCCCATTGGTTGCTGCTGAGCAGTTTGGGATAAGACGTGCCGATGCATTGCCCGTTCCGATAGACGATGAGCTCCAGCAGGTACTCGTCCACCTTCACCTCCACAGACGTCCTCTTCTCCGTCGACATGAGGAAGATGATGGTGAAGAGAGCAAACTCAAACTCTGGACTGACGCCGATGAAGACGCCGCCGACCGCCTTCACCAAACCTTTCCAACTGAACTGCAGATTCAGGACGTGATCGTCCTCATCCGGCTGAAAAACAATGAAGTTCATTAAGAAATACATTTCAGTTCAGTTCATCTCTTTTGTCCCACGAGGGGGAATTGGACTTGTTGCAGAGCGCGATCAACAGAAAACATCACATTTTTTCAAGTAATTAAAGTGTTTTCGTAGGGTGAGTAAAGAAAATGTGCTTCAAACTTAAGTATTTGTAAAAGGTGCATGTGTTAACATTTGGCTTTTATGCAAATTAAGCATTGGAATTGGAAGAAATGAAAAAAAACATATTGAAGGAACACAGTACCTCTGACCTGAAGGGAGAAGATACAATCCCTCAAAGTATCCCTCAGAGTCTTAGCGATAAAAGATGTCTGACAGGTTTTCTGTATCTTAATCATGCATATAACATATCTTCTTACGGTATTCTTGTTTGCTCTTGCTTTGTAGCCTTTGTAGTCCAGATGGTCGTGTTTCTCTTGCAGGTAGAACTGGACCCAGTTGTGCAGACCCAAGATCTCCCGGCCGAACTTGGTTTCTCCCACAAACACATGTTCAAATCCACAGGAATCCTTACTATAATGAAAACAAAAAAAGTCAAATATGGCTTTGTTAAGTCTCCATGTATCTGAGATCATGTTTAAATGTATTTCCTTATCTTCTAGGTTTGTATTCCTGCAAAGCTAAAGCATAAATAGGTAACACCAGTGCTGGAATACAATTGAGAGCATTTACTGAAGTACTGAACTTAAGTCTTTTTTTCCCCGCCACTAAGAACTTTTACTCCACTAATATTCAGAAGGGATGTTGCACATGTACTTCATCACATTCATCTGACAGCTTGAGTAACTTACGATACTTGCATAAAAACATAGAAAGACTTTCTAATATGTGATTTATACTAGCAGAAGGCTGAAGAATTGCTGAGCTTTTGTTTTAAAAAAGAAAGATTTGTCCACAATGAGTGCAATGTTTAATACTTTAAGTGCATTTTTATGATAACACTTACTTTTACTGCAATAACCTTTTGTAGTGGAGTATTTCTACATTGAGATTGTAGTACTTTTACTTTAGTTAAATATCTAAATCATGTGAAAACAATCTGTGTGACTCTTCTCAAAGATGCAGTAAACATGTCATTATTGTAACATGTGTCTCCCCCCTGACTCACCCTCCGCTCCTGTCCCTATGGTACAGTCTGAACCAGATGTCATACAGCTGTCTCTTGAACTGATCGCAGTCTGACGGGGACTGTCCTTTGTTGGACAGATATCCGTGAGCAAACTGTAAAGAAAAAACAAACAATAAAAACATGTTTCAAGCTTTCAATGACAAAATAGATCACAGAAATGTAACTAAGACACATTTCAGCTTTTTTATGTGACCTTCTTTTACCTAATTTAATAAAATAGTTAGGATTATTTAAGGTAAACTGTAGCTGATACTGTGGGTGCATATTCAGTTTCTTTCAAATGGCCATCCGCATGCTTAAAGCCTTCAGTGTTTCCTCAAAAATGTATTATCAGAATAGTAGGAAAACCTTTTGGCAAAAAACTAAGAACTTGATGTTAAAAAAACGGACTGATTTTGCTTTTAACTAAATAAATGTGTCACACAGTGAGAAGCATTTAACTGGTCATTAAGCAACAGCTTGAAAAAGTGTTTGCACACATCCAGGATAAAAGAGGGCCCCAAGACATGAAAAGGGGAAATTCATTACTTGATCAGAGGTTTATAGAGTGCAAACTTCATGCTACCCTTTTCCTAAATCTACTGCACCTTCATGACAGCGGTCTCCATCATGGCGTCGATAAACAGCCTGTTCTCTTTCAGCTCCTCTGAAGTCACTTCCTCTTGTACGCCTGTGGACGTCTCATAATTGTCCAGCAGGTTGACGAAATCTGCATAAAAAAAGACACATGCTTGTTACAAAATTGGAGGTGTCAAAAGAGTAATGGAAAAACAGGAAGTGCAACATACGTAAATATGTCTCGATACTCTTGAGTTTGTCTTCGTTGACGTAAGTGAAGAGAGGAGCTCTGGCCCTGTCTCTGGCGTAGTTACTGCCCTGAGCCACATAGCCTGCCTTCCCCTGAAGAAAACACACCAACACAGAGAGATGTTAACACTGACTCAGTTTGCATTTGGTGACACTTCACTGTGTCCAGATCTGTTTGCATTTATTGCATGTATCTCTGACTGCATGTTTTGCATTGCAGATAAGTGAATATATGGCATTTGCTAGCAAGAAAAATAGATAAATAACATGAATTATTATGACAGGTATTTCATCAGGAGAAAAAAATGAAATAAATACATTAAATATTAAATATATTTCTGGTTTCATCTGTGGTGTGGTGACTAAAGAACAAGATTAAGCCTTACATGTAAAATAATTCAATTTACTAGATAACACCTGAGACTCACAAACAAATTATTGGTATTAACCTAAGAATGTATGTATGGTCCTTTATCATGTTTTTCTCAGTCTATAATAATACACAAATTATATAAAAAAATAAATACATTGAAAAATATATAATTACATATTTAATAAATATAAATAAACAGACTCTTTGTGCCCACCTGGATTAATACCGTTTTATATTTGTTTTTAGTTTTTTATATTCAGAAAAACAAGCTTAATTTCTTTGTATAATTCTAGATAAAGGCAGAGATGGGATCTGACCTGAAGGGAGATGATGTAGTCCGTGCCCGGCCGCAGGCGGTTTGTGTCGAGGATCCAGAGCTGGTTCAGCACCTCGGTGAGCTCCCTGTCCGCCTGTTGACTGGGGGAAAACACCAATAAAACAGCAAATGATATGTAGATGCAGCTAAATGAAAATGGAAAAACTGTTGACCAAAATGTGAACATGATGTACGTATAATGAAACTGAATCTGAAATAAAAACTAAGTTAAAAAAAACAAACACCAAATTAAATAGAGAAGTAGACTAAACAGAAAAGGCATGAACACACACACATTTTAAAATCAGTTACATCATTTTCAAAATACACATCATGTAACAGTTCTTAGGATTTAGCAGCCATGTATATAGTTTTAACGGCATATATATATATTGCACATATAGCACATATTGCACATAGGTGGTTGGTATTTAACAGCAGCAAGTTATACAATTTACAAAATAAACATCTTGTAACAGCTCTAAGGATTTAGCAGCCAGGTATATATTACACAGTTATTAACGGCATATACATATATTGCACATATAGCACAAAATTGGTTTAAATAAGTGGTTTTGAGTTGGTTACACGCCTTTTTTAGTATCATGTTAACTTCTGTTATCTGAAGGATTTCATCAACACAATCACATGATGATAAGGTTTGTAAACAACACTACTCGATTGTTTCACTGCTCAATGACTCAGTGGTCATAAACACAGGACCTCTTTAATCTCGTACTTCCTGTGGAAAACTCTAATAAATCCCACATGCAGCAGCAGCAGCAGCACACTTCCCCTTTGTTGATGTCTCAACGTTTATGAAAGGCTGCATGTTGAAAAAGAGGTCAGTCAAGGATATAACAAATATTTCACAAAGTCAACTAAAGGTTATTAAACACCACTAAAGTGATTAGCATTTTGGAAACTGCAAATCTGTCTTGTAAAGGAAACTTTTAAAAACACTCGACAACTGGCTGAAGTTTCACCAGTTATTAGCTGATGAGAACAAACATGCAAACAACATGAAAAACCTCTAAAATACAAATTATTCTCTTGTATTTCTCTAAGACTCCAAAAAAAACTTACCTCCTTGCCATTTTCTCCGTTCAGTGCCAAGATGTAATGTAACAGTCCTGACAAGTTCCTCTTCATGCAGACAGTTATCTGAGATGTTTATCATGACGTTTCTAAGGGAACCAGCCAATTAAATAAACGCCCACGTTCCCTCCCTTTTCTCATTAAAATAACGGAAGTCATCTTCTGGTAATGCATTAAAATAGTACATCCGTTTAAATTGTTTTTCTTTCTTAAACCAGTTAACAGCTAAGCGACTCTAGTGCTTTTTAGGTTTCTTTTTAACATTACAACATTAACATTAATGTAATGTAATGTAACAACACCGCCAGGTAGGTAGACGCCCCCCAATTCCTTTATTATCTTTGTGAGTGTTCATGTTTTGAGAGATTTTGTGTAGGGACACCCCCCTATCTCCAAGGGACGAAAAAAAAGGTCATGTCATCCAATCATTTCAAATCAATCCTGCCTGCTCAAGCTACTGTAGCTGCTCAGTGGTTTGAGCTGTCAACTGCGTTTGAACTTTTATTTTGAAATCCATACAAAATAAAAGGAAGTCGAATTATGCGCATGCGCAACAGCCACACACGTTGTTTTGGAAGTTGTTAACGCAAAAAACATAGCTACATATTTCCGTGTTTTAATAGCTTCACCAACTCTTTACGTGTTTTATCGTTGTTTCGCATGTGTTTCCTATTTTGGAGTATCATAACCTGTTATTAGCTGTTGCTAAAACTAGGTGACAGGGAAGCTGAAGTTTAAAGAAAGCTAACTAGCCTGATAGCTTAGCCCTGTGCAGCGACAGCATGGCAGCTGTACTGGGGCTGATAGCTGGGAGCTACGAGCAGGTCACCTTTGGGTACAGAGTGAAAACTGATGAACCAGTAAGTTACAGTTATTTATTAGTTGTTAGTTATTTAGCAAAAAGGGTCTATAAGCTGTAGTTTCTTAAAAACTACAGCTTATACAGTCTGTCGCTGTGATTGATGTGCAGTCCAACAGGGTAAAACAACTTGTGTGTGATGCTATGACCATAGGATGTATTTTAAAGGAATTATGGACAGTCAATTAATAAGTTATCACATTAACAGACTTGGGTGTAGATACAAAATGCATTTCAAATGATCAATTACATTCAAAAGCACTATAAGAAATCATGGTTTAAATGGGACATTGTTTACTGTCCTTTAAATAAATAACTATGTATTTTATATTGTTCATTTTTAAAAGGAAAAATCAGAGGAAAAAATAATACTTCTGCAGGTGAGGTAGAAACCCACTACAAGCTTATTAAAGAAAAGAATATATAAATAGATTAATAAATAAACTGCAAAATGTATAAACAAATGAAGGAAATTAAAACAACAACAAACCCCCTTAAAATGTTCTATACCATTAAAAACCTGTATTTATTGTTTGTCCTGCAGGAGTGGACAGCGAAGGCAGAGTTCACTCATCACGCCCACACAGCATCTATATCAGCCGCAGCAGCCAGCGAGAGGTTTGTGGTCACAGGAAGCAAAGATGAGACCATCCAGCTGTACGACATGAAGAAGAAGATTGAACACGGAGCTCTGCTGCATCACGATGGTGAGACATCTTCAGGATATCACCTATTTAACATCAAGTCATACACCAATTCTACAATGTGGAAGTAGTAGCTGTGGCTTAGTGGCATGGAGATCTCTGGTAAAGGTGCTGTAGCAAACTGCTTTTGTTTCTTGATTTGTAATGTTTAAATGGCTGTTGGGGCACTTTTATCCCGTTGGTGTGATAGACTTTGTTACATTTTCTATACTGCTAGCCCATCAAGTTTAAATAATCATCAAAGAATTGACCTTGCTTGCTTTTTACCATGAAATGAAAAGACTCTAGCTTGATGTTTGCGCACCTGAGCTTAACTTCTCTGTCATGCAGGCACCATCTCTTGCCTGGAGTTTTACGGGACGTCTCATTTACTGAGCGGAGGAGAGGACGGACTCATCTGTGTTTGGGGCACGAAGAAGTGGGATTGTCTGAAATCCATCAAAGCTCACCAGTAAGCAGAGAGCGAGAGAGCGAGAGAGAGAGTGATGCTGCAGTAGCACTTGTAGCACGTGATAGTGTTGTCTTGGATTTTGATTGCCATGACGAGTCAAATGAACTCGCTTTATCTACCTGTTTTTCCTCAGAGGTCATGTCACGTCGCTGTCCGTCCATCCGTCTGGAAAAATTGCACTTTCAGTCGGGACAGATAAAACTCTCAGGTAAAATCACAAAAAGACAATCGTATTAAATCATTCTTTTATAGTTTTTATGATATTATCTTTTCAGTTAAATTGGGATAAGCATCCGTTGCTTGCTAATCTTTTTTTAAACCTATACAACTATGGTCTTGTAAATAGGAATAGCATTATGTATTAACAAGACAAATATATTTATATTTAAAGAGATAACTTTTGCATATTTGTATCCCTTTTTAGAACATGGAATCTAACAAACGGAAGATCGGCCTTCATCAAAAACATAAAACGGAGTAAGCCTCATTTTAAATTCTCTAATTAAGGACTGTTCAAGTTCTTTAATGAATGTGTGATCAGTGTGTTTGAAATAAATTGTTCTTTTACACTTCTAACAGACGCACACATAGTCCGATGGTCTCCTGATGGGGATAAATATGTGGTCGTGGTGAACGATGAAGTGGACATCTACGACCTGGAGACCGCCTCTGTGACGGCAACCATGAAAAACCCCAAGAGGATTTCATCTGTGAAGTTCTTAAATGTGAGTTATCTGACTAGAAAAAATGACACTTCTAACAACATTTAATCATGGGGTGAGAGGTCAATGTGAAGGGGGAAAAAACAAGGTCTTTATGGTTAAAATAGACTGTGAGCACACACACACACACGCCACAGGAGGTCTTTTCTTCCTGTGGACATCAAACTGTATAACTCCTCCTCCTTCTGCAGGAAGGATAATTAAACTATAACACCATGTGCAATATTAGGTTAATGTCATAATCTCATAACATCTGCAGTTTTAATATTTAACCTAATTTTATTTAGTACGATGAGAAATTAGCTATTAGTTGTTTTTAGTATTTGATATTTAATATTTTTCTTGAATGTGCAATATGACTTGTCACTGTCACAGGCTGCTACCTATTCTCTACTGGGGCACTGTAATACGTTACTTTAAAACTTTGTATATTGAGCTATTGTATATTGCATACTTTTATTATGATGTATCTGTATTATCTGTATTGTAATTTTGGAGCAACCTGGCAAAAAGAATTTCCTTCGGGATTAATAAAGTTCTATCTAATCTTATGGTATTACATTGGACCTGGGAAATGACATGGTAATCCATACATGGTCAAATAGAAATCCTACTTTTATTTTTTCAGAACTCCATTCTTGCGGTTGCAGGAGACGATGAAAAAGTGAGGTTTTGTGACCTGGGAAAAGAGAAATGGGTGTGTGAGTTTAAGGCTCATGAAAAGAGGTAATTTCAGTGTTTGTGTTCTTTACTTACTTTACTTTTCAGATCTATTTATTTAAAGTGTTTGCACCTGCATTTCTTATAAACACATTTCTATAATGAAAGAGAATTGGACTTTGTAACTACAGAATATAATCCTCTCAAAATGTTGCGATTTCAGAGTGAAGGCGGTCGAAAGTTTCGTGATGGAGGATCACTGCATACTGGTGACGGCTTCAAATGACGGATTCATCAAAATGTGGAAACTTTATCTAAAAGAGGCATGTCTATAATTTGATTTATACATTTTTGATTATAACACATTTACTTGTAACTTCCACCTTATTCCTTTTGAAAAACCATTTACCTTGCAGAGACACAAAAACAATAACATTTCCATAGTGTAACTACTTATAGGCATATACCTTCTTTGCAAAGCAGAATAACATGTTTTTTTAAATCAAATAGTTAACATATATTTTCAAAATAAAAACAAAAATGTGCAAAATGACACTGTTGTTCCCTGCTGAGCTGTTTCTTAACTACCAATGTCATCTTGTCTTTTTTTAGAGAGTTGGTTGTAACCATTACATTTTTAATTAAACAATACACTGCCATTTACCTTCTCCGAGATAACTAACTAAAATAAATCAATTAAAAACAGCCGCTAGGTTTTATTTTATCCTTAACATTTGATGCATCAAAGCCCATGGCTGTGTCACCTCTCCTTTCTTCACTAAGTCCTAAACTCCTGCCTCCTTTGTACTCCTGCTGTCCATCAGGAGCTGGAGTCTCCCACTCTGCTCATGGAAGTGAACACAACGGCCCGCCTGACGTGCCTCGCTGTGTGGAAACCTTCGTCTATGCAGCCGCCCGCTGAGGAACCAGCCGCTCCGACCACGACACCTCAAGGTCCTGCAAACACTGAGTCATGTCTCACTTCTTCTTATTAAATAGATTTGAGCTACAGTTATTAGAGGGTATAGGGACACTGGTGATTTGATTAGTTTGTATGTAGTTTCTAAATTATATGTAACATACTCTGTTCTTATATAATCTGTTTGCTTTGGTCCACAGAACTGATTCAGGAGCTTTCAAAGACGAAGAGAGTCCGAATTGCAGCAGAAGAAGTTATTCTAGAAGACGAGAGCAAACCCAAGAAGAAGAAAAAGGGCGGTGGAAAAAAACCAACAGAATAATTAAACCTGTTTTGTTATTCATGGCCTGTTTTATATATTTTTGTCACATATGCAAGTGCTCTTTGCTGTTGCTACAGGTTTTGTGAACAGATTGTGTGAATATATATATTCCTTTCCTGTCAACAATGAAAATAGGAACAATACGAGATCATCAACAATTAAACATGTTTTATAATCCTCAGAATTGTTTTCTGTGGAAATGCTCTTGTTTCCCATAGTGACGGGATAAAGTGCATTTAAGAGATATGTTGGCTGTTTTTGTGGCAACACAGCACAAGTCTATTTTGGAGTCATTGCTTTCTGTCTATGGCAAGGTTTAAGACTGATGATGTATCAATAAAAAACAATTAAGTCTTACCATTTCAGATTGGGCCTGTGTCCAAAAAGTGTTTTTTCTGAGCGCCAGAACATACGTGTTCTATCTATAGGCTGAGAGCTATTGGATGTACAGCTCTGGAAAAAATAGAGACCACTCCAACATGTTTTTAAATCTCAATCTCTACATGTATGGCAGCCACTTTATTCCAGTGTCTGTTGAATTCCAACAAAGATAAATGTTGTCAGTAGCTAATAGAATAAAATAAAACATTTTACTCAGACGCATACCTATAAAGAGTAAATCCAGAGAAACTTGATAATTTTGCATTCGTCTCTTACATTTTTCTGTAAGCTGTATGCTTTCAGTTTCCTAATGAGTATATGTCATTGAAGAGGGTTGCGTTTACGTGCCTGGTTTTAAATGTTTTAATTCTTTCACATTTTCATCTGGAAAGCTCTTTGAAGTGAAGGACAATTTAATAATCATCGCATACTTTTACTTTGAAACGACACCGGAAGTGACACAATCACGGTAACATTAGGAAGTTGCTGGGTGACAAACAAACGGGGATAGTTTTAAAGTACAGGTAAGACATGTTAATATTCTTTTTTAATGTATGTTTTGAGGGACATTTTGACAATAAAATTAATTCGCAAATTCTTTGTCGCTATAATAAACGTGTTACTGTTATTACATTGGGATTCAATGCTGCTCAATCCAACATTTCCTCATAATAAACTTTACTACAACATCAGCAGACATGGCTGTGGACTGGATTGGGTTCATCTACGCTGCTCTGGTGACGACAGGAGGACTCATAGGTTACTTTAAAGCAGGTAGGAGACCATGCCAATCATTAGCTACATGCAAATATAGTTAAAAGCACGTTTTAAACCTATTTTATTTATTTTTAATGTAGATGGAAAGTTTGAAACTGTGTACTCTTCCCTAACTGATTCATATTTTTTTTTAAAACTGAATTAGAACAGATGTACTATAGTCAACCATGACTAACATTTATCTCGACCTTTTTATGTTTTAGTTTTGCTGTGATTTCAACCATTTGTTTGTCTGTCATTTTAAATGTTTTGTACTAGTTTCGCTTGTTTTATCCTATGAGGTGGGGGGAGGGATACAAACAAATTGACAACCTGCACACCTGTACCTGTCTTTGGCGTTGTATGTGTTGTTTAAGAAAAAGGATTGTTTGATTTGATTTCAAGTTTATTTCACCATTTCAAAATAAACCCTGTTTCCTCCACAGGCAGCGGGGCCTCTCTGTCTGCAGGGCTGCTGTTCGGTCTGCTGGCTGCTGTCGGTGCTTTTCTGGCATCTCAAAACCCAAAGAATGTCTGGCTTTCTCTAGGTGAGCAAGTTTGAATTTGTTAAAGTATAATTGCAGCTTTCACAAACACATATAAACATCTGTTCCCCCTGCAGGCACCTCTGGGACTCTGGCGGTGGTGATGGGACTGAGGTTTCTCAACTCCTGGAAGTTCATGCCAGCTGGTTTAATGACTTTAGCAAGGTGAAACAGAATCACTTATCAGATTTTAATTTCCATCACAGATAATCATTCATATACCTTTTGCTTTAGTTTTGTCATACACACATACATTACTTTTCAGTCATTTTTAACCATATATTCTGTTGTAAATGTTTATTTTCAGTGGACTGATGCTGGTGAAGATCATCGCTGGCATGCAAAAGAAACCACATAAATCTTAAAAATATGTACAGATGTTTTTTCAGTGTGTCAATGCATATGTTTGACATTACAATCAATATTAATGTGTGTTTCCACATACTGTTCATTCACAAACATTCCCTTGTTTACTATTACATTCTGGTTCTGTATAAAACATGTGATATAAAATGTGACTTTATGAGATAAGGTACGAGAAAGAAAATACATTTTTATACAGAAAAGTCATGTTTTTATCTTTAAAAAATATATCTGCTGTTGTAAAATAAAAAACTTTAATACAATATAACGACTTAATTGTCTATTATTTAAAGAAAATACTGACTCTAGGAGTTATGGGACACATGTACGACACTGGACAATAATTTTTAATGTGGCAAATGTAACAGATCAACAGGCAACACTTCTCCTTTAGAGTATTTCCTGGCTCTAGTGCAGTGGGAACTGGTCTCATGAGTCTTTCGTGGTGCAGAGTGGACTGGTGCTACTGGTTTCCTTTGTATTTGGCGGTCCAGTCGACCCGTCCGTGCACCGGCTGCAGGGTCGAGCTCCACCCTGAGGCGCTGGATCCAGAGATCGGAGGATTCAGAGATCGGCTCCTCCACCCTTCGTGCTCTGGTGGATCATCACGAGAGAGGGGAAAGGTTTAGGCCTATTTCAAGGAAGCAACATCAAACTGCACACATCATTTTAGGCTCTGTTTGTTTTTTTACCTTCGTTTGAGGGCAGCAGTTTATTTAAGGAGGTCGTGTTCTTGGATGATTTGATTTTGGACTCAACTCTTAGATCCACTACAAGATTTACAAAAAGAAAGTGGGCAAATATTCAGGTTAAAAGAATGACAGCGATACAAAATCAAAAAGTCCGTAACATAATGAGTTTTTAAATGGTGGATAGAATTTGAAATGCACATTTTCCATTTTTTTTAAACACATAATGTACATTCTCTTGTCAGACTATGTAAAAAAATAATAGACAACTTCCCACAATATAAGGGAAGTGGACCACAGACACTGGAAACTGATAATTATGTCTCGTAAAATCTTATAATGAGACATATTTATATTATAGACCTGCAGATCAGTTTCTAGATCAAGCGATTTATCTTTTTTTAATTATATATTATATTTGTATGCTATTTTACGTTACTATCATTATTATACTTTGTACAAATGTGTGCATGTATATGTGTCTTAGAAGTTTATATTAACTATTCAATATTACTATAAGACAATTGATACAAATACAAATGAACACATTCTTCAGGGCTGGAAAACTTTAAATCTTCCTTAGTCAGTGACTATCTTCTTAGACATCTTTAAGGACTATGTTCTGACTCCAGGGGGCGCTTTTGCCCAGCTATGACGGAAGAGCAAGAGTGTACACACTGCTCTCAAAAGAAAAACAATGACGCTTCCAGTTATTTCTAGTTATTAAACGAAGAACTCACTGGCAGAGCTGCCTCCTATGGGGGCCAGTGTGACCCTCTGTCTCGCTGATCCTGGTTCAGCCTTCTGAAAAGGGGGCATCTGTGTCTGGTTCGGGTTTTTGTTGCTCAGGAAGGAGTCTGTAAGGACAAGAATCACATCACTAACTGATGACCTGCTTCAAGTCTAATATAATCCACTGCTGATGTTATTACTTGCTTTAATCTTGGGATTTCAACAATGTCAATCATTTCTGAATAACAGCAAAGGAGAGTAACTCTGTGAACAGATACCTTTAGAAAGATCACGATCCTCCAGACTCTTTTCTTTAAGAGGCTGCTGATCTGTTAGTTTAGGAAGACTATTGTCTAAAACCCACAGCACAACATAGAGAGAAGAGAAGAAGGATTAAACCCGATGAAAATAAAATAGGAAATCTCAAGTGTACCTATTTACATGTTGCATGTACAGGGCTGTACATCATAATTCATAATTATCATAATTGATAGAACGCACCTCCAAATCTGAGGCCATGGTTCTCAGCAGGAAACCGATGGACTGTCCACTCCAAGTAGGGAATGAGTCCTTACCCCAAGTGAAGGAGTTCAAGTATCTCGGGGTCTTGTTCTCGAGTGAGGGAACAATGGAGCGTGAGATGGGCCGGAGAATCGGAGCAGCGGGAGCGGTACTGCAGTCGCGTTACCGCACCGTTGTGACAAAAAGAGAGCTGAGCCAGAAGGCAAAGCTCTCTGTCTACCGGGACATTTTCGTTCCTACCCTCACCTATGGTCATGAAGGATGGGTCATGACCGAAAGAACGAGATCGCGGATACAAGCGGCCGAGATGGGTTTTCTCTGCAGGGTGGCGGGCGTCTCCTTTAGGGATAAGGTGAGAAGTTCAGTCATCCGGGAGGGACTCGGAGTTGAACCGCTCCTCCTTCGCGTCGAAAACCAGTTGAGGTGGTTCGGGCACCTAGTAAGGATGCCACCTGGGCGCCTCCCTAGTGAGGTGTTCCAGGCACGTCCAGCTGGGAGGAGACCGAGGGGTAGACCTAGGACCAGGTGAAGGGATTATATCTCTTCGCTGGCCTGGGAGCGCCTTGGGATCCCCCAGTCAGAGCTGGTTGCTGTGGCCAGGGAAAGGAACGTTTGGGGCTCTCTGCTGGAACTGATACCTCCGCGACCCGACCACGGATAAGCGGGAGAAGATGGATGAATGGATGGATAATAGAACGCTGCACAGCTTTTTGGTTGGTCCATTTTTGAACGATTTCTCCAGAGCGTTTATAAAGTTAACATTTATTGAAAAAGGATGAATGTTATTAGGCTATTTCCAGATTACATGTTTTTACAAAAGAATTCTGCTTCAATCTATACTTTCAAAAACAAAAATGTTATTGCCCTCAAAAAGCTGAGTTTGCCGCACACAGGGAGGCACGCATTGGCGCACAGGCAAAAGATGATTTAAAACTAGGTTATCAGCATTTCATTTGTGTTCTGAAGTCTTTCTTACCTTTATTTAGAGGAAACTCTGGCGTCTTTTCTCTGGTTAAACCCGAGGCGCCGCACAGGTTTCTGCCGGTCACCGGGCTTTCTGCTAAAGAGCCGTTCTTTGGATTTATGCCTAAAAATGATAACAATGGAGTGAACTCCTGAGCCCACACAACAAGTTACAATTTAAACAATGATACATTTGGTCTGTTGGGTATTTGTCTCTTTCAGGCGGACAACCTGGTAAAAGATTCCCCCGAAGAAAACTGCGCATAACTTATTTTTTCAGAATGATGGTTGGTTGTATTATTTTCACAAATGTTTTAGTTCGGTAGCGATGTTTTGTATAATGCTTTGTTAAATAACTCCCTTTCCAAGCCACTGGTTATCAGAGATGAAAAATAGGGTACCATATGTATTTTTGTTTTTCATTACTGTTTGTTTTTTGTTTTTGTCAGGGTTGGGGTTGGTGTGCCGATGGTCCTGGGGACACCGACTTTAAGGGGGGGGGTGTGATGACCCCTGCTTTGCTATCTCCTGTTGTGTGTGTGTGGCCCTTTAATGTTCTCCCTTTGTCTGTCAGCGTTGATTGAGGACACCTGGCTGCCGGTACCGAAGGAGTAAAAGGCCTGAGCCAGACTCTCGATCACTCTCTCCACGGAGGACCTGTTTTGGGAGAGCAGCCTTTTCGTTGATGCTTTTGCCTTTATGTTAGTTTTGTTTAACGTTGGGTTGTTGTTAATGAATATATTTTCATATATCTTGTCCTTTCCACGCTTTTGTTATGGCCAAGAGCCAGGTCATGACACCGCATTTAGGCTCATTAGTGCATTATTTTTTTTAACTTCTTATTTTTTCACAGACACAACATAAATAGGACATGCATGGAGATGCTTACATAACTGCACCTGTTGTACATCGGGGTTAATCATTCATGCCCTCCTTGGACACCAAAAGGACATACCATTTCTATTGATTTTCATATTGTGCAAACATTATCAACATATTACAGACATTATCACTCCTCCTCATCAACAAAAGGATCGCACAATACCTGTCATTAGTGCATTATTAATTTAATGAATTTCCTTAGATCTCTTTTCCTCACCGGGCAGATATCTGGACTGGCGGAGGTAGTGCTGCTTGGCGGACAGCGTGGAGGATTCAGCTCGGTTCAGCCCGCTGTTACTCGGCAGCTTTCTTTCTGTTTTGTTCTGCGACTCTACCAACCTAGACACACAAATATCACATTATTGTATTTTTTTTCACAACAGTAATGAAAACTTTTACATGAAAATAAGGAGGACTAACCGACAGCTGGGCCCCTCTGCTGCCCCGTCCTTCAGAGAGCTGATGGTGGGCTTTTTGGAGATGGAGACTCCGGCGTCTGCCTCCTCTCCGTCGTTCCAGCTGTCCTCAGATCTGTAAGACGCCTGTCCCCAGCGTCTGCGTCCCGTCCTCACTGCACTCATGCTGTTCTCTGCTCCTGTAGGCTTTGAAATAAAGAAGAAATAAGTTCCAAAGCTTCAAGAAGATCTACTTTTTACATTCAGAAGCTGCAGTTCGTTGATACCTACAGCCTGATAGCTCATTGGTTGCCTGTTTTTCACCAGGCTGAGGGGTTCCTGCTGTCCCTGTGTCAGTGTGGAAGAACACATCGTTTGTTTTGGGTTTTGCTCCATGTTGTTCTGAGGGAGAAGTAACTGCTGAAGAGGCTGGTGCAGAGACTGGCTGCCTCTCTGGGTCCTACTCTGCTCGCTGGACTCCAGGTCCGTCTTACAGAGGGACAGAGGCTTTGTTTCTGAAGACGACTCGTACATCTTTGGCTGAGCCTTGTGCTGCTCCGAGCTCTTCAGAGGAGCACCGAGCGCCGGGCCGACGTGGAAGTATGGATACCGTAGAGCCTGGAACACAGGGAAGATAATCCTCAATTACATCTGTGCTCATAATGTTTTTTTATACGAGTAAGAAGCTCACAACAACACACAAAGCAGCGTATTCATTATAGAATTTTCTTTAAATGTGAAAAATGCTGCCTTCTCAAAATAAAAGCAGCCGAGTCATGAACATGAAAATAAAGTGGATATTGTTTAAAGGACATGTGATTGATTGTAAGATATACAGTATATAGTAAAGAACTAATGAGACAAACCATAATTGCATGTTTCTATCACTGAATTGTAAAACACCTAAATAAATATTTGGAGCACCGAAAAACTATTTTCAAGCTTTATTAGTGGTTGAAATGTTTTCATAATGGCGTGTGTCTGTCTCAAGCTTGGAATGAGGTCAATGGAAGTGCCTTGCTGCAGCTGTACACACAGTTTGGTTGTACAGCAGGTAAAGGTAAGCTGATTGATTCCTACTTTGAGTATCGAAAAATAGATACTCAAAGGTGCTCATTATAAAAGTATTCACCAAACACTGTTGAATCAAAATGAGAGAGTTGTCTTCACTGTATGTTTCTATTCAGTCTACGTTCAAACTTAAAGGGTTTTCAAAGTACCTGAACAGCACTCGGTCTCTTCTCAGGGTCCCACTGCAGCATGTCTCTCATCAGTGTGATCGCCTCGCTGCTGGCGTTTGGGATCAGAGATCTGAGGCTGGTGGGGACGCACTTTGGGAAGCGGAAGTTCATCGAGGTGGCAAGCTTGACGCCCTCAGGCCAGTCTGGCTGATGTGGAGAGAGACAACAGAAAGCAACAGTGAGTCACAAGAACTTCACAACAAAAGAAAATACATTAAAATACTAGTAGCGGACAAAAATCCTGACAAAATGATCAAATGCACTGTTGGAAAAACCTCTGAAATATTTGATAAATTAAAATCAGAAATGTAGATTTAATAAATGAGTGGGTAAAGACAAATGATAAAATCACTTTACGGTAATGCAGCCTGTAAAACCAGATTTTTGGCATATTAGGATATCCAAAATGACAAGAGACAGACAATATCTAGTCACATACAATGTCGATAAAATGTTCATACGTTGCCCATTCTGACTATAGATCTGTTGGTCAGAGCCAATAATATAGAAGGTAGAAACAGTAGTTTGATGTTTGCGTCATAGAAGGGCAGAAGTTTTAATTTCAGAGGTCCCGGTTGGTGCAACAGCAGCACCCAACATGTGACTTTGTGCTGAGATGGCTCACCTTCTTCAGCGTTCCCAGCACCTGACAGATCTTGAAGATCTCGTCCACCTCGCTGTTTCCAGGGAACAGAGGTCTGAGAGTGTACAGCTCCGCCATGATGCATCCCACCGCCCAGATGTCGATGGGTGAGCTGTAGCAGTTAGACTTTAGCAGAACCTCCGGGGCCCGGTACCTGTCAGAACCAGAGGGAGGATATTTAAAGCAGATTTACTCATGGTGACTTAACTCTAGTTTGGCTTTAATTCCTGTTTGGTCCTTTTTCCAAGGAGGTCACTGTTTTAATTGGGTTTGTTTGTCTAGATTACATACAAACTAATGATTGTCATTAAATTCAGTGGAAGGGTGTAACATGGGCAAGGGAAGAGGAGGATACACTAATGATCTTTCACTTTTGTAAACATTGGAAAAAAAGGGCATTTGGTCTTGGCAGAAGTGTGCTCTCTCCAAGTGCCCTTCTAGTTTAATTTATGTTCTACTTTAATGCAGTACTTTTTGTCATTAAATGAACAACATTTCCCTACAGGGTCCGTTTTATTTCATCTTATCTTTAGAAAAATAAATGGTTGTGTCTCTTCTATCTAACGAGAGCTATAGCTTACGTAGTTGCAAAAGAGCATATTTTCTCTCTTTCCCCAAGTGGTATCTAATCATGTAAATAGTATTGGTTGTCGTGTAGATCTTCCACAGGAATGACCTGTACTGTACACACTGCCCTGATATCATCTTGTAGATAAATGAGTCTCACCATCTTGTAGACACATAGTCAGTGTAAGGTGGCTGTGAGCGGATCTCTCTGGCTAGCCCAAAGTCAGCGATCTTCACCAGCTCTGGGCCCATGCAGAGCAAGTTCTCCGGCTTCATATCCCGATGGAAATACCCTGAAAAACATCAAGAGAGTCACATGTTCTGATGTTTGTCCAGATTTGTATTGTTCTCTCAAACTAAATAGTTATTGCCACCAAGTTTCTACCACGATTACAACCACTATATCTAGATTCAAACACAGAGTTAAAACATCTCTGACCAAAAGAAAGATGTTTTAACCGGACACAGACAAGCAAGCCTTGAACAGGGTTTGTACAAAGTCTTGTTTTGTTTCAAGATGACTAATATGCTTACATGTTTCTGATATTTCTTGTAAAATGCTTGATTTTCATCACAATCTGGTGGTTTCTCTACACAATCACACTGTTTTGTTGTTATAGGTGAAATGTACGAACCCTGTTGGAAAGGGAAAGCGAAATCAGAAGGCTCTTACCGTGCTTATGCACAAAAGCTAAGCCAGACAAAACTTGGAACAAAATGTTCCTTATCTCATTTTCAGAAAACATCTTATCTTCCCTGGCAGCGGCAAAAGAGGTAAAAGACAAGAAAACAGAAAAAAGAGGGGGTAAAGATAAAAACACTACGCAAACAATCATGCCTTATTCAAGTGGGTAAAACACCAACTCACAGTAGCACTAAAGACAGTGTTGAAGGAAGAGAGGAAACGTGTTCAGTTAATATTTGGTACCACTCACACCTCCTCTCCTCACGGGAGAGAAGTGAGTCATTTTTAAATACATCACAGTTTTATATGTGGTTTTCGGTTTACTCAATTATGAACAATTTATACCAGGACAGTGCTGACAGCTTGATAATACAGACAAAAAAGGAAGTACTCAGTTTATACTCAAAGGCTTTGCTGTAAGTCACCTACCATGTTTATGAATAAAGGACAGTCCCTGTAATATCTGAAATGTCATGTTTCTGACGAGTGACTCAGGGAACAACTTGTTTCTGAAAAAATCAAGACCGACACATGATGACTCAAGCTGACCCAAATCATTCTCACATTCCCAATGGTGACACAAAAACCCACTGCAAAATGATATGACAAAAAGAACCGTGCACACAGCTGGTAAATGTCTGAAATAAAGCCGTTGCTGTAAGAGGAATTCTTCTTACCTTTCTTTCATGAGCTGATAGAGGTTTTCTTTCATATACTCAAAGACAAAGTAGAGGTGGTCGTTTTCTCTGATCACTTCCCTCAGTTTCACCACATTGGCATGGTTCAGCTTCTTCAGTGACTGAAAACACAAGCATTAAAGAAACATGTAAAATAGTCAATAATTAGTAAAATAGCTCATTATGTAGGGCATTTTCTAAAATGCCTGAACACAGTGTTTGAAATTTGATATAACATTCGTCTCCAAACAGAAACAAAACATGACCAGAGAATTTTTTTCTCTTCATATAGTCTCAGGTAATGTAGCTGATGATCAGGGAATGCAAGAGAAAGAGAACATTTTAAAATGGAAATATTTGTTGTGTTTTCATTTTCAAAGAAGGCCAAGTTACGACAAAACCTAGACTCATAACAAATTCTCATTTAAAACTTAGTTTTTTTATAACTTAAAACTTCAATAATAAATGAATACACCTATTTATATAGTTTCATACCATATTTATTGGACATTTAAATATCAATCACAACTTGGAAATAAAAAATGTTGCTGTCCTATTAATAACTTTACTTGATTATTTGAATGTTGCAAAAACAAGCAGAAAGTTGATTAATATAATAATTACTGAGTAGTATCAACTAGTGAATATTTTTTGTCTATACTATGTCTACTAGACTATAATCATTCTCACCTTAACCTCTCTTAGACTCAAGCACTCATCCCACGAATAAAACTTCCTCTTCATTCTGTTAGGGGTGAAAACAGATTTATTAATTAAAGACTTTCCGACTTCTTTTCAGGGTATGAAAATACTTTCTTTATGGTGACTATGGGCTCCAAATAAATGTTTTATCAGCCATAATAGTAGTACAAACAGCATCCTGTCAACATCACAATATTTAAACGTTTGAACTTTGCATGGAAATGTTTCACGTGTGTGACCTGTTTTAACCTTTCCCCTTCTTCCCTCTCATACTCCAGGAGCAACACTACGCGGTGTACTTTCACTTCTTTGACTGTCATCAGCAGTGTCAGCTTGCACTATAACCTTACATTTACAAACAGTGCCTGAAGGAGCCCCGTGAAACATTCATTATTCATCTCTTGCCAGAGATCTTAAACAGCTCATCATTAAAATGTAGTGAACTGTCAAAAAAGGATGTCATGACAACATAAAGTAACAAAACCTAGGATAATAATAATAATATTTATAGTAATACTAATACTACAGTGTCTGTGTATCTTCACAATATGCCTTAAACTTGTCATTCCAGAAGCTTATTTACCTTAAATTCCTACACACTCAAGATTCAAAGGCTTTTTGTTCATGTACATGATATCTATGATGTAGTTTTGGCAATACAATCTTAAGCCCCAGGCTAGTCCAACAGTGCAACATCAAATATACTCAACATAAAAAAGAAAAAGAGATAAATAAAATAGATATAATGGTGCAAGTAAGTTGCATGAATACGAATAAAAACATTTAAAACAGATTAAGATGTAAAACAGAAACAGAATGCAAAAACAAATACTGTATTGAATAAAAATGGTGTATTATAATACTATACAAAATATGTGGATAAAATATATAATCACATGATGCAGACAAATGCAAAACGTAACTTTTTTATTTATTTTTATTTGAGGATACAACACGTTAGGGTCTAGATTCTTGAAGCACTCTGAAGCAGTCTCTCAGAGTTAAATCAGCTTAATGCTCCGAGACGAAACCACCCAGTTTGCACTGACCTCTTAATGGCCACCATCTCCCCCGTGTCGTTGCTCTTCCCCAGGAGCACGCTGCCGTACGTGCCGTCCCCCAGCTGCCTCAGCGTGGTGTAGCGGTTCATCGTCCACAGAGAGCCCTGCCTCTCCTTCAGCGAGGAGCCTGGACAGTCCCACACAGGCCAACAGTTGGTCATCGTAAGCACAGTAACATCCCTCCACAGATCAACAGACACCTATGCTACTCTGAGGCAACTCAAAGACTCTAGAAAACACAGCAATAAAACATGAGTGCTCATCCTTTACCTTTCTCTCTGCAGGTGGGTGATTAAGGAAGGTGGAGGTTTACCTGGCGAGGGCGAGTGGAAAAGTGACGCTGCCGGCTGCATGTGTCTCACCTATCCTGAGCTAAGCCTTGACGGCAGACAGAGGAAGGGCTGCGAGGGGATTAGAGCTGACATGTGATTAAGTGCCAGGTAACAGGCTCACAGGAGAGCACTCATCAAGTCCACTTCAAAATAGGAGTAGGACACATGGTGACACATTTTGTCAATGGTGGAAGAAGTAGTTAGATCTTTTACTTAGCTCAAAGTAGAAAGGTATCAAAATATACTAAGTACATATAAAAAAGAAGTGTCATACCTGTCCAGCGTAGTGCTACAAGTATGCATTAATTTGAGTAAAAAGTTCACATTACATGGAAGCTATTGAAATGATCAAAACGTTTTCAATTAAATACGTGCTGTTTTTTCATAAAATATATGTTTATTAAATATAATGTACACTAAAATCCAATACAAACAGATGTGTCCAACTTGCCCATTATAGATATACAATATACAATCTCCTACTTGCAGTAATACAATGATGCATTGATTTGGAGTCACTGGATCATATGACATGTAAGCTATTGAAAGCTGAACAAATCTTCTATTAAAATATTCATGACAATCAGGACACACCAGTAATCAAAAAAGGTTTGCTACAGAAGACACATTTATTATATTTTGTAAGCATAATTTGTACTTTTTATTTATTTGTTGCTTAACGTCCAAGCAAGCACGTTGAAATGTTTTTTTTAATAAATGTGGTTTGTGTCATATAAATGGTTATTTATTGATGGTCCCTAAGTGAACACTGGGCTAACCTAATTATACTGTAGTTACTGAATAAAGACCTTAACATGTTGTTGTTTTTCTCTCTCCTTTCAAAACAAAATGATGTTGATTGATAATATATACCAGTACATCACAAGCTACAAAACGTTGAATTCTAAACCATTAAAATCACGGTGTCTGAACACGTTATCATGTAGCATCATGTGGCTAGTTAGCAAACAACAAGCAGGCCTGAATAGGAGTAGCCTAGGACTGAAGCTAAAGAGCTAAATAAGCTAACATTAAACGACTGACAAGCCCTGATGTTCAGCCATTATATCTAACAGACACTTCATGTTGGTGTTGTTGTTTTAACCAAATATGTAAACCTTTAAACTTAACTAAAACTGACGTACCATGGGAGGCATTTCCGTGCTGATGGAGGTGATGAAGAGATGCTGCTAGCTTTGTAGGAGCAGTTTCCTGTCTCCTAGGCAACGCAGAGACTTCCACTATAAAAGGAAATAAAAATAATACTTATATTATCTACAAAAGTGTGCACTGTGATGGACCTGAAATAGTATGAAGTATATTAAATAACGTTAAAATAAATACAATTAAATACAATTATCTATTGTTTTGTTGTTTTTATATTTGGTTCGTCTTTAACAGCTGTTTTGGTGTTTTTGCAATGACGTCAGTTGCCACTTTTTTTTTTAGTTCTGATGTTAGTGTATCAAAAGCAATATTGACCTTGTTACTATTAATAAACATTTACTCACCAGAGATATTCTATTGTTTTATGTTACAATATAGTGCTCCATCTGGTGGTTCATTTTTAAACCTGCATCTTTATGACATTGGTCCTTGTAATCCTTGTAACCTACCTTTTTTAGACCCCTTAGTAATTATATCTTATTAAAATATCATTGTTTTGTAAAGCAGTCACAGTGTATGTGAGCAGACTGCTGTTGGGAGGCTGGACAAAGAAAATCAACAAAAATACTTTATATTTAAATGTAATATAAGTGGGTTTTTTCTGCATTTTCTTCGCAAAATAAAAAAAAACAGCTTATGTTATTGCTAAAACCACATGAGGGCGACCCACAGCCCCTTAAAATATCCCAGGACCCCAATTTGAAGACCAGATATATCATCCACATAATAGTCTTTTTATAGCGACACTTGACCTGCTTTCAGGCTAAAAATAGGCCTATTATATTTAGATTTTGGTAAATAACACTTGGATTAAGGGAATGTAGGAAACAACTCGCATGGATAAGAATAACATAATGAAAAAGCTCATACAAAAATATATAAGCCATTAAACGTTAAAAGGTCTAATTGATACAATAATGCCTTGGTTATTGTAATGATATGTGTTAGAATTCTAAATATTATCTTGAATACATTCAAATATTAGAACATATTTAAAGAGCATGACTGTGCGTAAACAGTCTGATATAAAATAGATCATGTTCACTATCTATCGGGCAGGAGGTGTCTTTAGGTATGCAGGCATGCAATGTGAGGAATGAAAATCATGACCAGCATTCTCGAAATGGCCATACTGTAGTACCGTGACGCGCCGTGCATTGCACCTAACAACTGTGCAGTCAGATTGTTGACTGTCTGCGCAGCGGATAGTCGCGATTTTTTCCAAGGTTGTGCTTTTGGTTACTTACGGTAAGATGGACCCGCAGTGTCCACTAAAGGATCAGGTGATCCACTAACTACGAAGCAAAGGCTGACTGGGGAAAATGCAAAATGACATATAGCAAATGTCGGAGCATAATTCATTCACATTTTCGGCTCAATTTCGGACTTAAATCGCACCGCTGGAGCTCCAATGTGACGATGGCTCGCTAGGGCTGCTGGCGCAACTGCGATTTTTTTGACATTTTAATTTATGAAAAATCACATTCACAGACAAATATTGGTTTCAACATGGGGCTGTGCTACAGTTTGCGTCCCCGGCTCTTCGGGGACCTGAGCGGCTCTATCTCCAACGCTACCTCGGACTCGGACCAGCCTCCGGACGCCGCTGCCGTGCCGACCCGCGCCGGGGGAGCTCGCCCGGAGGACACCGGGGGATGCGGGGAGACCTCGGCGCTGCGCGGCCCGGTGCGCCCCGGGGACCCGGCCAGGCTCCCGGAGCAACGCCGTGGAGACACCGGTACCGACGGTGTGCTCATACAGAACGGAGGCGGCGGAGGAGGAGGCGGTGGGGGAGGCAGCGGGAAGGGGACAGGGAAGGACCGTGGCCGACGCTTACAGCTGCTGCAAAAGACTAGCACCCAAAAGCAGAAAAACTGGGACAAATTGCTGGTGGAGGAGAAGGAGGCCGAGAAGGAGGCGAAGAAAGTCAGTAAGAATATTGACAGGGCGCTGAAGGAGCTCAAACGGGAGTACAAACAGACGCATCGGCTGCTGCTGCTCGGTAGGTGCCTCTCTGTTGTTGGACCACCAAGCTGTTTTATTATTAGAAACAAAAACGTACTGGCCTTTCCAAAAATTATGTCACTACTCTGGCGAGGCCTTATTGCCACCACATCTGTTGGCTGGGTGAAGACTACCCCCTGCGGCTGGCAGTGACAGATGAGGAAGATGTCTCTGGGTCTGCTGTCCTCTTACTGTTTATCATACTTGATATTATGAGGAAAAGCCAATTAATAATGTTGTAGGACATCAGAAGGGACCAGTAGCTAAACACAGGTTTACAGAAAACACCTAGCATGTGGCTATTGGGCAATGCCTACTCTGAGAACAGTAAGGTGTAGTGTACAGTAGCCTATATGACAAATACCCTGTCGAAATACATGTGTAATGTAATATAATAGTGTAGTCCTAACATATGCAGAGAGTCCACTTAGTTTTGGGGTATTGGGCCATATTTACTCTGAGTATAGTATAGCATAGCATAGCATAGTATAGTATAGTAGAGATTATTTGACTTCAGATGAGAAATAGCATTTTGAAATAGATTGATAATGTAGTATAATAGAGTGTAGTGGCTTGTAATGTTGTGTAGTGTCATTGAGAGGTGGCTTTGGTAAACACATGTGTAGAGAGACCTTTTTTTTGTCTTTTGGGACATATTTAGTAGTATATTATAGTATAGTATAGTAGAGATTATTTGACTTCAGATGAGAAATACCCTTTTGAAATATATGTAGTATTATAGAGTTTAGTGGCTTGTAATGTTGTGCAGTGTCATTGAGAGGTGGCTTAAGTATACAGGTATTAAGAGAAACGTATCCTGTTAAATATTACTCTGAACATTTGTATTATAGTAGGCCTAAAGTGTTGTGGCCTGTAGCAGAGTTGAGTGTTGTAGAGTATTGTAGAAAATATCACTTAGCTGTCTTTAGTATTAAAATACATAGAGGGAGCACTTAGCTGCCTATTTGGCCATGTTTACACTGATGATGAGTATAGTATAGAATAGAGTGTTGTCTATAGTATATGACAACAACAGATGAGAAATAGCCTTGTGAAATAGATGCATACTATATTATAATGGACTGTAGTGGCTTGCAATTTTGTGTAGTGTCATTAAGAGGTGGCTTTAGTAAACAAACATAAAGGGAGACAACTTGTCCTTTTAGTTTTAACCCTGGAAGTAAGGATTCGGCTTAAAGTATAAAATACAGGACTAAAAAAACTCATTGTGGGCTATACCATAGTTGAGTGTTGTATAGTTTTAAAGTGGGTATCATTTAGTTGGCTAAAGTATACAAATATGAAGGTTAGACCACTTAGCTTTTGCCTATTGGGCTATGTTTACTTTGAAAATCAAAAGTATAGTATAGTATTTCAGATGAAAATGGCGTGTTGTTTAGTTTGACAAGACTGCCGTCAATCTGGTAAAATAACAAATAACTGACTCACTGTTGAACATTTACAGTTGCGTTTTTCAACAAATAAATGTACTGTATAGTAGATTACAGTGTGGTCTACTGGCCGATATTATAGTAAAATGCTGTGTGTGGATATTTTATAAAGTTGAGTCGGTAAACCATTTTGATTGTTGTGGGAAAATGAGCGTCAGTTCTTAAAATGATGAATTAATCCACAAAGTATGCTAACACATTGATTCCAATCCTGATCATTAATTGGACGAAGAAACACTCCCTGATTACAGCTTTAAATTCTACATGTAAAGAATTGCTTGCTTTTGAATTTGAGTACAAATGGAGGTATTTATCATAGCTGCTAAATAGCCGTACTGTCATAAATGATCACTTTCAAATCATCAGTTAGGACTCTGGCATCGTATGACAAATAAAGAACCTTGAACCTTGAACCTTGGCACTTGGTTTTAATTTATTTTTAACATTTTATCAAGTGAATGATTATAATTCGATAAAAAAATAACAACCCCTAATTTAATTCATAATAAAAGTATCTTTTAGTTGAAGCCCTTATCGGTTTATTTGGGTCTATATGAATTACAGGGCGTATATCTCTTTGTGGTCATACATTTTATTGCCTTACTGGAATCTGCTGATAGCTTAAGTCATTTTTCCGATATTGGTCATTAGCAAAACATAATTGTTCCTGGGAAATTCTTTGTAGTTCTAGATGGATGTGTCAGTCAGGCCAGAGCTCTCTACACTGTTACCCTGTTGTTTACTTAGATTTAGCTTGTTGTTATTTTACCATACACACAGTAACCATGTCTATATTATATGCTTATACATTACTTTTCAAAAGGTCAATGCTTTACCTTTTTAAAGAGACAGTCTTTACCAGAAATAGGAGCCTTAAGTTTTATCAAAGCTACCCTAATGAGGAAGTATTCTGATTGTTTACATAAGTGATAGGACTAAACCTGCACTGTGAAAATACTGCAATACAAGAAAAAGTCCTGCATTCATTACATGTTTTTGATTAATATCACGGCTATGTTGCATTTTGTAGGTGTACAGCAGGTGTTTATGGTTATGCTATTTTTAAATACTTCTTCTCATCTTTCACTTTATCACACATCAGCATCAACATTTAAAAAATCACCACATTTGGAGTAATTGTTTTCCACTAAAATGATAAGTAATAAATCAAAATGTATAATAGGATTTTTAGTTTTTGTTAGCAGTCTGAATTTGCAACATAACGAGTAACTAATTGATCAAATAAATGTATTTAAAATGACTGTCAATATTTCCCTCTGAGGTGTAGTATAGTAGAAGTGTATAGTAACATAACATGTAAAGACTCAAGTAAAGTATCTTACATTTGTATTTCAAACACATTGCACGTATTTGCTTTACTTTTACCAAAGTAATATATGTATATATATTTGTTTTGTGTTGATAATAAACGACTGCTAGTTACATTTCATGAGTAAACAGTTGTCACTAATCACACACAGGAAGAAGTGGCTCATCCTAATAAAGTCACACAGGGAAGTGTCATAAATTACAGTTACATATATTGTGTGACC